ACTGTTTCAGCAGTGAGGTACAAGATCACTTTCATCTTGATTTCATCAATTAAAGAACTAGTGTCTACATACACCAAATCCACCTATGATCATCAATTTATATTCAGTGCCAGTTGACTTACATTGGACTAACAGAGAGACAACTTGAAAACAGACTGGCAGAACCTATATTAAAATGGCTCCATCCACAACATAACATAACCCTAGACTCATTAGGGTTGTGGAGGTGTATGGAAGCACTAATGTACAAACCCCACCGTCTTTCTCTGTCTTCTTTTTTTTTTTTTTTACCAATAAATTGTATGATAACTTAGTCCTGTCTATTTCTTGATGATGTCATTACAGGTTCTTCTTTGCCCTCCTCTTCTCTGACTATCCCACAATGTTCCTCAAAGCACAGTCTTTGTAATCAAATCATGTCTCACCACGTGCCCGAACTAAGCTAGCTTGTGTCATTTCATAACTGCCAAGAAAGGCTGCTGATGCACATATATCCAAATGGACTAATCAGCCACCTTTGTACTCATAATCATTGATCACTGCTACTTTGGATGAAAAGTGGTCTGCATCGCTTGTGACCAATGAACAACAACATTAGGTGAATGCTGAGAATAGAAGAAGCTCTTAAAAAAAAAAAAAAAAAAAAGGACAACGCCGCCCCACCCCCCTCCTTTTTTTAAAAACAACTATATAGTTTTAGTTGTTGGTTGCTTAGTTCCCCGCCCCCTTTCCGCCCCCCCCCCCCCCCCCCCCCCCACACACTTTTCTTAATGAGACAGTCCACAATCACAAAAAATGGTGTGTTTCCCCACACACTTTTCTTAAGGAGACAGTCCACAATCACAAAAAAATTTTGTGTTTGTCTATGTGTATATATATGTGGGTGGGGGAGGCATTGCTCAAATGGCCTAAGCTCCCAACATCTCTGACAGAACAACAAGATGATTCAGCATAGCACATTTACAACCAGCAGGCAATGGTTTCTGAAATAGGGAGCTGGGCAGACAGGTCTCAACTACTGCTGGCACTGGAGACACTAAGGGCATGAATGCACATGAGACAGAGCAGGGAGTTGACGGACAATCCTTTAGGTGGGCCAGGAGATTCTGCAAATGTTTTACTATAGGAGGAACATTAGGACCTGCTGAGTAAGTACGGGAACCATTTTAAGCTGGAAAGAGCTGGGGAGCCAAGGTCAAATATGAAATTAAAAAATCTGACTTATGCAGGCTCAAAGCCAAGACCACTGGAACAGCAGATCCAGCCACTATGCTATTGCAGGCCAGAACAAAATAAAACATATTATCCACGGGAGTGTGTCAAACACCTACATGTCTCGGGTTTGAAACTATGGCTGCGCTGCAGGCCAATGACAGATAAACACCGCTAACGAACACACCCAAGCCAAACACTGGTTGAACACACAACAATCTTGGCTCTCCTTCGAACTTCTACCCCCACAGTATTGCAGCCTGAAATATTCGTTCCGGGGGCAGTCCAATTAAAAATATGGCGGCTCTGTATAACGAAACATATGCTCTAATAGGGTCTCAGCGATATGTTGCTAGCGGACCTGTTTCTCATTGTGTCTGATTACCTGACAATTCTAAGAGACGCAACACTGCAGACAATAGTAGCAGACGATAATAATAGCGACCGTTGACACTTTCCATTGTCGAACTTTCTGCCGACGAACAAATCGTGGCAAATCTAGGATCGGCTCGGAAAAACGAAACAAATGCTTTAACAGGGTCTCAGCGATATATTACTTGCGGACCTATTTCTGTGACTATGCCTCACCGCCGACCGTATCATCCCTCACCGCTACGCGCAGCGCGGATAGGGGTTAAACTATATGGCTGGGACTCATGAGTGAAGCTACCACATCTCCTGCAAATTCCTTGAATTACTTTGCTCGTGAGTCCCAGGCACCTAGTTTAGCCCCCCATCCGCGCCGCGCGTAGCGGGGGATACTCTCGGCGGTGAGTTAATCGCGTTTTGCGCATGCCGACAAGTCTGACATCTACCGCTGCTAAATCCTCAATCAATATTGCTAATCTGCGTGGGCGCGCGTGGTCTACCCGCCATATCGCTTTCATCGTCTGTAATGTCTCGAAATTGTCAACGGTCGCTTTTATCATCTGCTAGTATCGTTTGCAGAGAACGCTCGACATTGTCACAGGTCGCTTTTATCGTCTGCTACTATCGTCTGCAATATTGCGTCTCGTGACATTGTAAGGTACTCCTAGTTTTGCCGCAATTTGTTCCTCGGCGGGAACTCCGACAAGTCCGTATTTTTAATTGGACTGCGCCTGGAACGGATATTTCAGGCCACAATACTGCGGGGGTAGAAATTCGAAAGAGAGCCACAATCTTTATTATCTAAGGATACGAACTCATGGAGGTCTGTGCCTCAGGAGGGGTAGTGCTCCTTATTCTGAAAATAGGCCGCTTCTAACTTTAAAATTGCTAGAAGTGGCCTTTTCACATTCATGCTCTGAGCTCCTACTACACTACCATACAGCGCTATCTCAACTGGCTGTCTCTCGATGCAAAGGACACTGTGGCAGACGCCGAGTGCAGGCTGGAGGTGTGTCGGTAGATGCTAACACCACAAACAATGCATAATGAGGTATCACTACTGACAACGTCTAACTGCTATCCTGAATCTATCTGCTTAAATGCTAACACCACAAACAATGCATAATGAGGTATCACTACTGACACCATCTAACTGCTATCCTGAATCTATCTGCTTAGATGCTAACACCACAAACAATGCATAATAAGGTATCACTACTGACAACGTTTAACTGCTATCCTGAATCTATCTGCTTAGATGCTAACACCACAAACAATGCATAATGAGGTATCACTACTGACACCATCTAACTGCTATCCTGAATCTATCTGCTTAGATGCTAACACCACAAACAATGCATAATAAGGTATCACTACTGACAACATTTAACTGCTATCCTGAATCTATCTGCTTAGATGCCAACACCACAAACAATGCATAATGAGGTTTCACTACTGACACCGTCTAACTGCTATCCTGAATCTATCTGCTTAGATGCTAACACCACAAACAATGCATAATGAGGTATCACTACTGACAACGTCTAACTGCTATCCTGAATCTATCTGCTTAGATGCTAACACCACAAACAATGCATAATGAGGTATCACTACTGACACCGTCTAACTGCTATCCTGAATCTATCTGTTTAGATGCCAACATCACAAACAATGCATAATGAGGTATCACTACTGACAACGTGTAACTGCTATCCTGAATCTATCTGCTTAGATGCTAACACCACAAACAATGCATAATGAGGTATCACTACTGACAACGTCTAACTGCTATCCTGAATCTATCTGCTCAATGAGATCTAAATGAAACAATTACTACCTACACCGTGAAGTACTAACCACATTTAGTCAAACAATGGACTGTACAAATTACAGCTAATTACACACACCCCATTTCTACTGATCGTTATGATCTGTCAATGAACTATTACAATCTACGATCTGGTCAAGCGATGTCCAAGTCACACAGATGTCCTGCCAAGAATTCCCCCATCTGTCCTTTGTCCAGTCGTTTTGTTGAACTTCCAGAGTTCAGTGTTCAGTCGGCCCTTCGTGAAGACCGCTAACGTTCAGCAAGCCTCGTTCAGCTAACACAGATTTATCCGTGTATCGCTTGTCTGCACTGGTCCAGAGTTTAGTTAGGGGTCACTGTCCACAGCCTTGCTGATTCATCATCACCCTGACAACAGAGTGCTATATGCAGTCCTACACCCATGTGTGGGGGCCACAGATAATTTTAAACACACTAAAAGCAAAAAACATGAGTCTCGGTGGCAAAGCGGAGGAAGGGAAGAAGAGGACTTTAAAACATGATTACATGAGGCAAACAAAATATGCTGGGCTGAACTCCATGTCAGATATCAAGAACTTTGCAGGCAACAGAGAGTGGAGAAATTGAACCCAAAGCCTAAGTGGCGTCTAACGGCACACAAAGGATGATGATGATGACGACATGCATGCACATACAGATACACATCAAAACATACAACTGAATGTATCCACATATAAGGACAAAGAGACGACAATGCATGCATGCATGCATGTGTCTCAGATTGCCATACAATTAAACAATCCTACATGTAAAGACAAATACGGGGAGACACAAGCGTGCACTAGGATATTTCACTTAAAGGATCCATATTTTAAAAAAACAAAGAGACACATGTACGCATTCATTAGACACGGAGATGTATTACCAAAAAGTATTTGATTGTAATGGTAAAATCTTTCTTCATCTTCGTGTTCACCGGCTGTAAATTCCAGTGGAAACTTCTGGACTCTAGTCCCGTTCCAGAAACTGAGTGTTGTGTGCACATCTGTTTCAAATGTCTGTCTCATTTACATGCAGACCATTGATTCCTTGCCTCTCGGGCAGACGTACTCCAACTTTGAAGAAAGCTCCCAATTAGTCAACTCTTACAACATGCTTCTGGGAAGGCAGTGGGTCTGTTCTTGTCTGCCCCACAATGGGGCCGCAGAACCCACAAAGGGATAACTGCCAGTCTATTTTCAAAGAATGGCTCATACTGCTAAAGACCTATCTACCCCTTTCCACGGTCATCCTAGAAATAGGTTTCTAATCAGCAGCCTGGCCAGCTTACCTTCAAGCCGGAGCACATCTTCATAAGATGCAAGGAACCAACAGTCTGCACATAAGTAATCCTAATCTGTAAAACAAATGTGCCCGCAACACTCTAATCATGGGACAAGACCAAAGTCTCAAAGTGGACAAACAACTAGGACTTTCTGCTGAGGTTTACAGCTGGTGAACAGGAAGATTAGATGGGCGGACCTATTTGACAGGTAGGTAGGTGGGTGGGTGGATTTATGTGTGTGTGTGCGCGTGTGCATGTTTAGAGAGCAACAAACAGGCAGAGAAAAAAAAAGATAGTGAGACGTACCTGTCTGAGCCAAGAAGTCTAAATATTCTTGATTTATCACAAATTTCCTGAGTAACCTGTCAACAGAAAAACCAAATATTGCTAGATTCATAATAAGAAATTAATCAAATTAACTGTGACTACAAAGCTTTATGAAAGGGAGGAGAAAGCTGTGCACAAAACAGACAAATGGACATTCTGGCCGGTGTCTTTTTACAGCATGAACTAACTACACAACAATGCTGACCACATCAGCCACTGAGGGCTGATTTGTCTAAAAAACTTGAGTCTAACATCATATCCCTGATGCGACACTTGTATGAAAAAAAAATCCCCTTCATTTTAATGTACATTTTACTTTTCTGTTTCTTCTCTGTTCTTCTGCTTCTTCAGCATTCTGAGCCCTTGAGGTTCACTGCTGCAGATATCACAAGCCTCCATTGATCTCTCTGATTGGCCTTTTCTTTCCAGTTGGTGACACCAAGTGTTTTTAGGTCTGTCAGGACATTATCATTCTATCGCTTTCTTGGTCTGCCTTGTGGTCTCAACCATTCACATTACAACTATTACAGTTTACTGTAGTTGTACTGAATATTTTGATGCTACTGATAATTTTGATGCTTGAATGAAATGATGTGAGAAAAGAGGGAGACTAGAAGGGCAGAATGCGAGCCCAATTCTTAACTCTCTAAAAAGAAATGAAGCTTTTTTTTTCTCCATCTGCTGTAAGCTCCAGCAAAAATCCCTGTTTGTTAATCCATTTTGACTCCCCTGACATTTGCATGTCCACTGTTTGTTTGGCTTATTTGTGTGCAGTTAATGGTTTCTTGCCGCTCAGGCTGATGCACCCCGTCTTCGAAAAAAGCTTCCAATTGGTCGACTCCTATGACATGCTTGTTGGGGAGGCAGTGGGCCTATTCTTATGTAACCCCCCCCCCCCCCAACCCCGCCGCAATGGGGCCCCGTACCCCACACAGGGAATTTTTACTTATGCTGAATTTAGAATTAATATCACAGCACTGGGGACACTCCCATAAGCACTCTGTTCCCATCATCTGGGGTATCCATGGAAAAGTGATCAAGCCGTTGACCTCACACTCTGACAGTTGTTGGTTCGCTCCACAGCTGCCCAATTCATTTCATGAATGCAATTTTTATAGAGGTCCCTGGGAATCATCACCAGAGCTTTGGAGTTTGTGCTCTGCGTGGCACTCTTGGCAGGAGGCTAGCCGTTCTGAGGAGAGAGACTGAGCCATACAGGATAAAACTGGAGCAATGATGTCGATCCTCTCAACTTTAACCTTTAGTCCCCATCTTCAGCAGCAAGCTAAGAGTTCCAATTCTGATGGTACCAGTAACTGTCTGACTGTATATTCATCTCGTGTTTCCTTGAGTGTCAAGCATGTATCTTATGGTCAGCAAGGTTTGAGGTTTGAACAAAGGATCAACATCACTGCACACGGGTAGTAACCCATCAGTGCTCCCTTCTTCTTCTAACCCAAGTCTGAGTCCAAAGAAGCTCAGCAGAGTGCACTGGCTCTGTAGCACCGACGAGGATCCTGAAATACTTTGGGTAGATTTGTAACTCCAAATTTTGCCCGTGCAGCGCCGTTAGGCTAATCTTTACAATTTCCAACTGCCACGGAATTTTTTTTATGTGCGCAACAATGCACACTGGCGTCCGATCTCACTACCCAGAGATCAGGGGAAATTACTAGAAGTCTAAGTCCACTTGAAGATATCCCAGCCCTTACCGGGGATTGAGCCCAGAACCTCTAGCACTCGAGGCGGACACCATGCCTCGAGACCACGCAGCCCCCAAGGCTTCAGCCATTCAGACTCTCATTTAATTCAGTGGATTTTTTTTTTTCTTGTCTGGTTGGTGAAGTATGAAGCTGTGGCTGCACAGTAGATGCTTGTCTACTGATCCAAAAGTCTTGCGTTTAAATCTTAACTGGGGAGGGTTTTATAAGTGACTTATGCATTCAAGTCTAAATGTTGTGCAAAGCATTTTTCAAATACAGAGGTTGGAAAAGACTGAGAATGAAAACAGAGTTGACGAAAGAAAAGAAACAGGGATATTTACATTATTGCTTGTGTTTATCACACTGGAAAAAAAAACTTTTTAAAACCATACTAGAGCAAAAAAGTTGAGGCTAAGAGGTCAAGAGGTAGACAATGATACTAGTGGGACGACAATATCAGGAGACGGACAAATAGCAGTCAGAGAGAGTGTACTATTAAGAAAAGAGACAGAGAGCGTTAGAGATCCATTGCAGCCAACGCTTCATTGTGGAGACAGCACCTAATTGACTGACTGATTTTTATCATTTCCAACCTCGGCGTTAGTTAAGTTAAAGAACAGGCAAGCCTCAATTTAGAATACCCTAGAGAGTATAGAAATTATCTCCACTAAAGAGGATTGCTTGAAAGAAGCTAATGAAAAAAGATCAATATATATTTAAAATTAACTAAAACTAAATTAACATGGAGATGATACAAAATACATTTAGATAAATATAACACAATATATTTAGATAAATATAAGTTTTAATACAGAACACAACAGAAAGTAAATGAAAAGTGAAGAAAAAAATTGTTTTAGGTAAAGAACAAATATTAGGTAAAGAACAAATATCCCAGCCTATATTATTTTTGTTTTATAAATTTACTTTAAAAAAAAATATTTAAAAACAAGTGATGAAAAGATGTGTTTTTCTGATACAGAACATCACAGAAAGTTTTTTTTTTTTTTTTTTAAACTGAAGAGATAAAACAATAACAGAATATTGAACAGAACAAAGAAACTGCATGGAGAAAACTATTTTAAATATATTCAGGAACAAGGCAGTGAACAAACTAGACAGTTTTCTAAGGAGGTTGATCTCCAACATGCATAATGTGACCACAGAAGAAGTAAACTTTAAAACAAACCAATGAAGAAGAAGCAAAGCTGAAGTGACTTACCAATACAAGATTCTATAAATGGTTAGTTATTTTGTAATAATTGTAAAAGCTCTGAACATCAAGAAATATCGGCTAATAAACAGCATCTTGTCTCAGAAGCTGAAATATTTTGGTCATATCGAGCGCCATGGCAGAGTTGGGAAAGGTAACTGCAGAAGGCATGGTACTAGGAAGAAGGAGCAAGGGCCGCCTAACATGAAGATGGACACTGGATATAAGTGACTCCTTGAATATGAAAGTACACAAGGCAGGACAGTTGGCGAGAGACTGAGTTTCTTTCAGGCAGACCGTGATGAGAGAGATGTTCTGTGAAGGACCTGCTACATGACCAACTGATTATGACACTAGGTCAGTACGCCTCTAGCCTACTTTTTTCTTTATTTTCTTTAAATATAAAAAAAAAGTAAAGTTCCCTTTTCACGCCTTTCAGCGCATCGGGCATATGGGCAGAGCGTCCCATATTTTTACAGACCTTCAGCACTCTGTGGGTAATGTGGTCAGCATTACGCCGGCTGTCTTTACTTTCCCAGGACAGCCCATCCTGGTACCCATTTTAGGTTGGGTCGAGCTGCGACGTCCCATACCACGACAAAAATCCACGCAGCCTGCAGTGGGTTTCGATTGCGGTATGCTGGCTTAGGAGTCGGACTTGCAACGCCTTAGCCACGGACGCCACTTATCTTTAAATATAGACCTGAGTAATTCTGAAACATTTTATTAAAAAAGTTTGTTTGCTTCCATGTCCAACTAAAAGATAAATGGACATTCAATATCACTCAAAACAATGGTTCTCATAAGTATTTCTGGCCCACTGCTGGGTGACACTAAACTACTTCAAGCCACAAACCAAGAAACTTTAGACAGTATGATTACCAAGAGAAGATGGAAATGGCTTGGCCACGTTATGAGAATGACTTCTGAAATACCTGCCAAAACAGCTCTCACATGGACACCAGAGGGAAAGAGAAAACAGTGGCGCCCAAAAACAACATGGAGACGAACGATGGAAAGTGACCTGAGTGAGGCATCTATGACATGGAAAACTGCATTGAAGATTGCACAGGACAGGAAAGCATGGAAAATCCTCTCTGAAGCCTCATATGCCACTAGGCATAACGAGAACTGATGATGATGACTGCTGGGTGCGAACCCGGTAACCTCTGAGTCAGAGATACCAGCCACTCCATCTCCCATTATAGTCTAAGTATCTAAGTATGATATTACTAACTGGTAGACTGACTCACCTCGTTTGCTTTGAAACTGCGACCTTGCATTCCATGTTTGTGGAAGGCCAGCACACTGTCTTGTAATGTCACTGAAGGTTTAAAAAAAACATTAAGTAAAAGTTGATCTGAGGCAAGAATTAATATCCAAGCACTTTTCAACATGCCCACTCTGCCCTCAATTTCAGCAGCCAATGAAGAAACCCAATCTTTACTGCTCCAAAAACAGCGTTACGACACATTATTCTGTTTAACTCTGAAACCTGGAGTGCAACTACAAGAGATGAAGCTTTCTAACTAACAGAAATGTCTTGGGACAAAATGTTAGACCCATCAAAGATGAAAACAGCAGAGGAAAGAAAAAGAAGCAACAATGAAATTCAATATCTGCTTAAATCACCAATAATCACTGGCATAATGAGGGTTAACAGACTAATAAGTTAAGGAATACAGAGAGAATTACTTATAACAAAGGCATAAAAACTGTATACAGAAAATAAATGGTTGGGAGAAGACCAAGAGCACACCATAAAGATAGTGAAGAGACAATAATACAAGCAGGCCTACAAACACTTAAACACACTAAGTGCAAAGAGAAGTCTGATCCCAGAAATTAATGGAGACGGGTGACATCTGCAGCAATGAACCTAAAGGGTTCAGAGTGCTGAACGAAAAAAGAAGAACGAACAAACTTTATTTCCAAAGAGTCATAGCTTGAGCACACAGGCCCAAGAAAAAGGGCAGGGAATCATAGATCATGTTGTAAATATGCAGCTCTACAATACGTCATGATCTCAAAACCCAAGCCTTACAAACTCGAGTGGGTCAGTCATTACAATGGTTTGGACAAGCATGCAGAATGGGATAAAATCAGCCACCAAAGCAGATATGGCAGGCCAACAACCAGACCTCCAGAATGATCCAGGGTTCACTGGAAAGATCAATTCCTACAGTCTCTGACTGAGAGAGGACTGGAATGGAAGAAAGCCAACAATAAATCTGCTCACAGAGAAGTCTGGTGATCTTTCTGGCAAACCTCTATACCTCAGGTAGAAGAGGATTGACTAAGTAAGTAAGTAACATAAGTGTAGTTTTGCTACCTTTAGAAATAACACTACTCATAAATATTTACAAACGTTTACTGGATGGGAATCTAGTACTTGCGAACTAGAGACAATATCTATGTCACTCAATTATTTTTCCAACCAAATCTAATTATCTGTGAAACTGTTTACTGAAACTTGATACACGATGATTGCTTTCTAAACAGTGTCATGGCTTGTCATGTGGTCAAAACGCAGCTTGGAAACTTCTTACATATAGCATCGAAACATACTCATCAACTCATACCTCACCTAAGCAGAGAATATGGCAGCAACACTGTCAGCTACTTCCAAACGTCCATAGTTACAAAATGGGGCCAGTATCAATAATTACATTACAAAAAGAGGAGTAATAAATTCTTTGATCAAACAAAGCATCCAATATAAAATATCAGTACGCTGAAAATATAATTTAAATGGGCGGTGGCTCCTGTTCAGAACTTTAAAAAAAATGTATAACAAAGTTTTGCGAACAGTCTTATAATAGATCTTTGGCTGCATTAGATATGCATACAGCAGAGAATAAAAAGTGAAAAGCAACAATGAAATTCATAACCTGTTTAAATCTGCACTAACTACTGGCATCAAGCGGTGTTAACAGGCTGCAATGGTTGGTGCATAGAAAAAGAAAGATGACAGCAGACAGAAACTGCATGCATAAAGAATGTGAAAGGGAGTAGAACACGGGCAGACCGAGTAGAAGGTGAAGATAATATTCAGGCAGACTTTCAACCACTTGGAGTCACAAAGTGAAAATAGAAGACCAGTCAAAGAGATGAATGGAGGTAGGTGATATCATCAATGATGAACCTCAAGGGGTCAGGAAGTGGCTCTTGTTCAGTATTGCCCCAACTTTGTATGTTAGTGTTAATCTTGTATGTCTGTTGCATCCAATATCTGTTGTATGGAGGCTCATAAAATCAAGGCATGGGTGTACAGTTATAAAATCAACATGTCTTAACTATCATAACTAGGCACTCTAATATCTGTTGAATGAAGGCTCGTAAAACCAAGGCATGGGTGTACAGTTAAAATAATATCAACATGTCTCAATTATCTTACCTAGAGACTCCACAAGACAGTCAAAATGAAGCTGAGACTGGTGTCTTCTACTAGACTTGAGCTTTCCACTCAGACTCAGAACTTTGACATATTCTAGAACAGACAAAAGGACATCTTATAAGTACAAAATTATCATGTCAAACATGGTCAACACTTAGAAAAAACACCAGCAATTATTATTTTTCTTCTTCTCTATTCCTGTTCTGCCTTTGAGTATCAGGATTTTAAGAAGTAACAGGTCCAAGTCTTAATAAGTGCTATGTAAATGCTGGTATTTACTGGACTCAGATAGTCCATCTATCCAACACTTGAGTTGTCAACTTCTAGTTCTACTTTTATGTCTAAGTAACAGGGCTCTCAGCAGTGCACTATCTGGTGGTAGTCTTAATACATGTGTCAACCATTTGATCTGTTGTCTCTTGATGTAGTTTAGCACCAGTTCCATCCCCACTTCTTTCCTGATTTCGCCATTTTTGATCCTGTCTCTTCTAGTTACATTTAGGATTCACCGTAGACTTTTAATTTCTGTTCCAATTTTTCTTTTTCGTTTAAAACAAATTACCAACAAATCATGAGAACAAAATCTTGTTACTTTATTTCTTCTTCATTTAAAGTCAGTGTTGTGTGGCACTGGTCATCATGTCTATCCACAGCTTTCTGACTCGGGTGGGATGGGGGGTGCTTCAGGGGGTACACCAAATGGCTTTTTCAAGCCACGTTTATATTACATTGTCAAGTAAGCCTCAGTGATAAAGGTCACAGGGTCATGGCAGGAGTCACCTTATACACATATTATAAAGGCTCAGAGTTAGGAATGTTTTCCATTTAATAGTTCACTTCATGTATGTTTACTGATTACTCCCTTTATCTTTATATATTTCAATCCCTGTGGTGGTTCCGAGGGTTAACAAAATAAACCCTCTAACAAGCATGTCGTACAAGGCAATCTAATAATGGGTTTTTCATCTGAAGTCGAAGTGCGTCTGTCTGAGAGATTAGGAACCAACAATCTCCACACAGATTTTTTTTTAAATGTTGTGTATCCTTTACAGGACATCACAGGACCAACCCCAGCACTGTTTGGGTGTTGTGTTTTCTCTAGGCTAAATTTGGTTAAGTTCAGTACACGGCACCCAAGCATTACAAAGCGTGTTTGCTGCGCCTAAGCCACAGATGCAGACCACATAGATAAGCCAGATCTGTAAAATGGATGTGCACGCAGAACTCACAAAGACCAAAGTCCAGAAGTGGATGAACAACCATAACTTGGAAGAAACAGAGAGAGAAAATAATTTTAAATGTATAACATAGATAAACTTTGAAAACTGTTATTAGTGCCTTGTGTAAAAAAAAATATGTTATTTGCAAAGGATTTTTTTTTTCAAGAATTCAAATTGGTTCATGACACCCCCCCCCCCCCCTTTTTTCCCCTTTTTTTTTTAAAGCATCGCCAAGGCAAGAGGGTTAAAGTAAAAAGCTGAACTAAATGTGTTGGAGTCAAAGCAAATGAATCCCGTTGTTGGGAAAACAAGAATAGACCAACTGCCTCCCCAAAAGTATGTCGTAAGAGTCGACTAATTCGGGAGCTTCCTTTGAAGTCGAAGTGCATCTGCTGGAGAGGCAAAGAACCAACAGTCTGTATTCAAGAGAATGAGATCTGTAAAACTGATGCACACGCAACACTCAGATTCTGGAGCAGGACTGCAGTTCAGTAGTGGACGAGCAACCAGAACCTTCCGCCAGAGTTTACAGCTGGTGAACGCGAAGAAGAAGAAGAAGAAGGCAAATGAAAAATATTTACTGACAATTTCACAACTAAGGAATCTAGAAACAAGGAATAACTATCATAAAACAGACAACTAACTGACCTATAATGAAGATAATAACCTAATAATTAATTCAGCATACTGAACATACTACAACGCATGACTTACTATCATGGCATATCAATACTGTATCCTTTTCAACCTGTGTGACACTCACAACTGAGAGCTGCTCATGTACTGATGATACAAACAAGAAAATATAGTTTCAACAGATTTTCATTTATCTAGCAAATACAATTTCATAAAAGAGAAAAGAAAATATGAGTTTTGTTAACAAAAAACAATTTTTTTTAAAAGTATCTGACAGGAAAAAATATGAGTACTCAGGAGGTCTTCTTCTTTATCAGCGACTGGGTCCCCCGCTGGCTCAGTGGTAGACAACTTTGTCGCCAGTCAGGACAGCATTTAGGTCCATCTTCTTTGATCATACCAAAACTGCAGGGGTCCTTTTCAGGGCTCTTGGTGGCGTACAATGCTGAGCCATTTTATTCAGCGCACATACCCTAGTCACAATTATAACCTAAAGCTGCCTCTTCAAGGATTCTGGTTGAACTTGTCAATTGTATTACCAGCAAAGCACTTGCCTCCTACCTCCTCTTCCTCTTTTGTTTCAAAAAGGGCGACTGGTATGTTGTAGTTTACAGTTATCTGTGCATTTCATCCCAAGACATCAGATTTTTTACAAATCCTTATTTAGTAACCCGTTAAGAAGCAGTGGATCTCTTAAAATAGGGCCAAGGAAGCCATATGGGAAACCTAGAGGTCAGATACACCAAACCCCTTTTTGCAGTGGATTTTTTCCTGGATTATAGTGCTAAAGGTTAAGCACTAATTTATCTCCACTGTATTTAGAAACAGTGCTGACAATAAAAGTTGTAATAAAAAGGTAGAGTCTTTTTTATTTTTATTTTATGAAAAGTAATAGACTCGAGAACTATAATTATCTGTAAGACTAATGAAGAAAAGAGCAAGAGGGCAATAAGATAAATACCTGGATGGCCTGGCCATACTGCTGGGAGGGGACAAGAACACTGAGCTGATCTGTGATTATGGTTATCAAATGAGAATAGAAACATGACAGCCTACACTTACTGGCATAGCATGTGATGATGATGAATATAAGATAAAAGCAGGACCATTAACAGATACTGCCTCTGGCATCTGAGGCGGTGCATGCCCGAAAAGTGAAGCCATGAAGTTTCAGGTTAACCAGGCAATGGATCGCCTGGGAGGAGATGAGCACCAACCATGTCAGCTTTTTTTTTTTCTGACCCGCGACACGACACAACTAGCAAGCTGTCAGTGGTGTAATCAACCGCTATTACACAAGATAGAATGAATTAAACGACAGTCTTCTTGCAGGTAGAACATCTGAAAAAAAATCCAGGGGAAGACTAAGAAACAGATGGATAAATTATGCAGCTGAAACCTGCAAAAGGATAAACAAACCCATCATCAAAGTCACCCAAAAAGTGCAAGACAAACACTGAAAACCACATCAGTGGGCTACAACCTGGTATCAGTGAGCTGACAAAAGAAGAAGAAGAATACCTGAAATATTGGTCCCCAATTACTGCCTTCGTGGACTTTTGTCGTGGTATGGGACGTCGCAGGTCGACCCAGCCTAAAATGGGTACCAGGATGGGCTGTCCTGGGAAAGTAAAGACAGCCGGCGTAATGCTGACCACATTACCCACAGAGTGCTGATGGTCTGTAAAAATATGGGACGCTCTGCCCATATGCCCGATGCGCCAAAAGGCGTGAAAGGGGATCTTTACTTTTTTTTTTACAATTACTGCCTTAGTGGTCTTTATTTGTTAAATTATCAACTGACCATATAATAAAAGAAACCAAACTATAAAGCAAAAAATCCAGATTACTAAGCAGAGGCATGTACAACTAGAACAAGATTTGCTGCAGCTGAACTGCTGCCAAACAAAGAACCCTGTCATTTAAACACAATGGAAGCAGACCTAGAGATCTCCTGTACAAGCAATGGACAGATGGAATGTTTGTGGCCGTGAACACCTCTACCAGGATATAAATGTGTCGTTTTGGCTTCCCGGACCAGTGCCAAGCAGCAGAAGACAGGCCGCAGCAAAAGCCTAACCAATGTAGCAAGTCCAGAAACCAGGCCGCCATCTTCAAGGGAAAGCCAGCTCATTAAAAACGGAGGAAACACGGACAACCACCAGGACAGACAGCAGAAACTCCACCTATTAACGAACCAGGCCGCCCCAGGCAAAAATGCCTGTCCTTCTCAGGACAGCCAGACCCACTCCCAAAACCAGAAACAGCCCGCCAAGTCTGACCGTGCAGACATGACACAGAAGCAAAAAATCAAACTTAGGCGAAAATGATCGCCACAAAGGAACAAACTCAAGTCAGATAGCAAAGAAACCATCCTCAATAAAGCAGGCCTTCGGGCGGCTGAAAAAGGACAAAGCTTGACATTTTTTTATTTCTTTTTTGGGGGGGGAATTGGAACTGGAGGACATGCAAGATACAGGTATTGGGGTGGATTTGTAGGAACAGGATGCTGTAGACCTTTTTTGGATTGAGGAGAAAAATCAGAAATGGAATAGGAATAAAGTAGAAATGACTGCAGACAGGTTCAGAGTTGAGAATCTCAGAAGAAACATGTTCAATACTTGCAATGTCAACAACGGTCCTGAAATCCGAGGCTCTAATCGTGGAAGACTTTTCTTAACATCAGCAGGTCTTGCTAGTTAATGCTTGTCATCGCCATGGGGTGTGATTCCCATCTCTCCCTACAGCACAATATAACACTATTTAGGATTAGGTTTAGACGATGAATCAACATCATGGCACAAGGGTAGTAACTCATGTGCTCTCTGACTCAAGCCTGAGTCCCCAAAAAAAGTCTGTAGCACTGGCGAGGATCCTCGAATACTTTTGGGAAGATTTTTAACTCAATTTTACTCTTTCTGAGTTCCAACTGTGAAGGGATGTTTTACGAGCGCAACAATACACACTGGTGTCTGATCTTACTACCCAGAGACCAGAGAAATTACAAGAAGTTCACGTGAAAAAAACTCCCAGCCTTCACCGGGGCTTGGACCCAGGACCTCCAGCACACAAGGCGGATGCATGCCTTGAGACCACACAGCTCCCATATATATAATATATATAAATATATATTTATATATATATATATATATATATATATATATACATATATTTATAACACTATTATCTGGAATGACATAAAGGTGCCTACAACAAAAGAATACCAGCATCTACATAGCACATACCAAGGTTTGCACCAGATGCCGCTTCAAAAACCTGACGCTGAAAGGCAGAGCACAGACCAGAGAAAAAAAGAAGTGACGCCAAAAGTAAAATCAGAAAGAAAATACACTGCGCTATTTTTTTTTTTAAATATCAAGTTCACACTGCAAAATTTAGACACATACGAACATGATCATCAATATGGAAAGAATTTAAATAATATACAAGAGAGTTACCTGAATTGGAGTCAACATCAGCAAACCAGCTTGTCTGACCATTCAAGTTGATCAGTTCAAATTTAACGTGGTTCTCATCATGTCTGGAATGGTGAAACAGCAATGTCATACACAGAAAAGATCAGTGTCAAGGAAAAGTAAAAGTAGCTCCCTATACATGCCATCCTGTGCAATTATATGGATGCAGGACACGGACAAGCTGGCAAAAATTGACTCGTAGCGGAGATGTGGGTTTTGGGAAGTTATAGAAACACAAATGGGGCAGTCTTCCTCAAAACAGATGAAAGTCGTAAACTGATTAGAAAAATAAGTCTGTATTTTTACATATTATGAGGAGTGGACTCGACACCTTGGTGAAGACTGACAAGATGGAAAGAGAGCAAGGGGACAGCAAAAAAAATTAACCAAGAAGGATGGTTTAGCCATATGGACGGGGTCCATGATTCTGGTTAAAAACATGTGGGACAGTGAAACATGACAGCTTGTGCTTATCGGCACAGCCCATGATGATGATTATGCATGCCACTATCCAGGGGTGGTGTTGCCTCAGTTGCATTTAGGGGCATTTTTTTGGCTGGTTCGAGTAAAGAAAAAGCTTGGCCACATGCTTGGGTTGGGAAAAGAACACTGACCTGATCCATGATTCTGTCGATCATGTGAGATAATGAATCATGACCATGTATGCTTATCTGCATGGCACATGATGACAGTTCGGGGGAATACATAGTCATTGTGATCAACTGGCCCTCAATGCTGTAGAAAACATCAATCTTGGTGCCTTTCCTTTCCAAGACATTTTCTGTTTCCCTTTCAGGCTGGATTGACCTTCAGCACAAATCAATTATGAATGAGAAGACAGTAAAAGAAGAAAGTCTGGCATTCAGTTCAACTACTTATAACATGACAATGAAGATAGCAGCTGTCAAAGGGTCATTTGCATGGCTGGGAGAACAAAAAGCAACTCATGCATTAATAGTGGCATACTCAAGGGGTGTGCTGAAGAAGATTCAAACTGGCAAACTCAAACTAGAAAAGGTTGACAGCATACAGAAGTACCGCCTCAAGAAACTATCTTGGCTGTACATACCAGGATGAAAAGAAATGACAGAGCCAACAGACTGACCATATCTGCAGTGTTTGGCAGAGGAAGAAGTAAGAACAGTGCAGACATATTTAATGCGCTGCATTCTAGAGGTGTTGAGATGAAGGAGTCAGAGACAAAGGACTACCTGCTGGAAATGGGTATAAAAATAGGAAAAGCATGCACACACAAAAAAAGAGGTTGCAGGGCAAAGAATGAAGATACATCAATCAACTCCTACTGGGTATGCTGAGAACAGAGACATTGAGATGGCTGCTGCATCATGGGACAGAGGGGGAATAGTTTGGCCGATGTGCTGGGATGTCGATACAAGCAATAAGTAACAAATCAATCTTAAAATTCTGCGTCATTGCTATATCTCTAAAATGCAATAAAGTGTGGTATGCTAGTATGAACAGCTTACCCTTTGAAAACTCCGTAACACAGCATAGGGTATTCGAGTTCAGGAGTCACAAACATCTCAAACACCTGCAGCTGTGGTGGCATCTGATCTGTTTCAAATGTCTGTGAACAATGCATTCATCAGTAACCCGAACCAGAATTCTCTCAGAAGTGCTGTATTAAATGTGATTCTACTTTTCAACTACCATGAAGTTCAGATGTTCAATTAAATGACCATATTCTTTGCGGACATTATAGATACTCACATGGATATACAGTCCAGGACAAACAAGTATGAAAGAGAATGAAAGAGCGTATTTTTGGGTTACAAAAGTGACAGCTACAGAAACACTCTTACTGGACAAAAGAGATATTTTGAAGACCATTTATATAATGAATGCTGATAAAAGACAGGAGGTTAGATTCAATAACATGTGTAAGAATGTGTGAACATGGAATTAGGAGTGGATCCAGGAAGCAGTGACGTATCAGAAAAAGAGAACAATGTGTGTATAATTAGTGTGATATGGGAAGAGTTAGCATCTACACCTTAAGATATTTGCTGTGGGAGACAGAGCACCTATGGTTTTGCCAGATGTGCTATGATGTTGATTCTTTAATTAGTAATCAGACTTGATCATGAGTGTTGGCTATCGCAGCTAAAGATTTCTATGGGATGGGGTAGCCAGTCTCATGCTGACGCTCTGAAAAGTTTTTAGTTTCCAGTTAGTTTTTGCTGATGCAAATTCCTCATTTCTGTTCCAGGAGTACAAAGGTTCCATCTACCAGCTAACAGTCAAGTGCTTGGTGTGACACTGTGAACTGTGGATTTCATGTAGAATATTTTAACCATAGTGCCTTTGGCATACTGTTGACTGCACTGAGATAGTGAGTGGCCAGTTACATTTAAAACCAAGATTAACGACAAACAAACTTTCTTCTCACCATTTATAGAATACATGGTACATTACTTTTCAATACCTCCCTTCTGTCAGTTAGTTGAAGTGGGCAAACCATTGGCTTTGCAGTCTTTGTATGTAATTTACAAGTTTTTCTGTGTTGACTTGTTCTCTTATTACTTAATTTCTGATTTTTATCTCCTCTGGTCACTAATGCAGTCCTTCTCAAACATCTCATTTCAATGGTTACTCATTTACTTTTCTGATTTGTGTGCGTGACCAAGTTTGGCACTGGTAGCATAGGATGAGAATGAACGTGCTTTGTATGAGATGATTCTTTGTGCTGATCGGGACTGCATTGTGCTATATGAGGGGATCTAACTATCCCAATACTTAGTTTGCTTTACTGCAACTGATGTTAATTTCTTCTTCCAATTGTCCATCTTCACTGAATGTTGCGCCCAGGTATCCGAAACTCAGATGCCTGCTTACTGCCTTTGCACTCTGCCGTTATAGTAAGGTTCCACTTCTTTCCTCTTATATAGATAAAATTATAGCTAACACTCTGCCCACTATCCACCACAGACTCTTATCTCCCGGAACATTTCTCAAATCAGCTGAAAGTATTGGAATGCACATTAAAATAAAATATAGTTCAACAAAAGAGTCATTAACCGTTGGCTACACAAAATCTTTTCTTCTTTTTAGCATTCACTGACTGTAAACTCTGGTGGAAAGTTCTGGTTGTTCGCCTACTTCTGGACTTGGGTCTTGTTCTAGAAATTAAGTTTTGCTTGTATTTTCATTTGAACAGATCTGTCTTATTTGTATGCATACTGTTGGTCCCTCGTTTCTCAGGCAAATATATTCCGACCTCAAAGGAAACATCCAAAATTAGCGGCCTCTTACAGCATAATTTTTAAAAAGGAAGTGGTTGTATTCTTTTCCTCCCACAATAGGGCTCTAGACCCACACAAGGGGGAAAAGAATATACAAAATGTTCACTAAACTAAAGCAACATGAAAGTCTATAAAGCAACAAGAGAGGCTACAAGATTCACAGACCTGGAGCACCATGAAAGACTACAAAAGATTCCTAACCCTGAAAAACAAATATTTGCAAAAAAGAGTTACTAACCTTGAGCAGCATGAATTTATTCAGTGGTTCATACCACTGCATGAGTATGACTCCATTAGGTAAGGCACCACACAAGTAACGGTAGCCATTGTATGGATTCCGACCAACACAGCATCTCATGCAGCCCCTGGTATCGGGAACTTTCGCTGTCTGTTGCAGACGTCTGTGAGAAGATCAGAAAACAGATCAAAACTGAAACAGGAAAGCTACTTATCTTATTAGGATCAAGCAGTGTCAATTTGAACAGTTAAAATATAACGTCTGGCTAAGTGACTGCCTGTCAAGAGTGATCTGAGTTCAATATCCAGGAGAGGCCAATTTATTGTTACAATTAGTATGACACACACACAAAAACGATACACGCACAAAAACCAAAGCACAACTTCCTAACTACAGAGGTGAGATGTCTTAGAAGAGCTGCTGGAGTAATAAGCGATACAATTTTAAAAAGAAGAAATCAGAAGAAAAAAAGTTTAATTCTTCTTCTTCTTTCATTTGAAATAGATTATCTATTTTTGGAATGTTGTCTCTAGTATGAACTTCACTGTCTCTTGTAATTCACTCAGCGACCCGTAAAGTTTGACTTGCACCGATGTTTCTGTGGGCCAAAAGTTTTGCCTTGATATGTTGTATCTGGGACGGTCTTGGAGGACATGTTGTCTCAGGTGCTAATCCACATGTGCACATGGCTGATTTGCCATTCTTAAATTTTGTGTACACATAGCTGCGAAGTCAACTGTGCCTGGCCTAAGGCACAGAATGACGACTTCTGGTCTGTCCATTATATGGTAATCGACTTTTGCCGGTTTTGGTAGTTTTCTGATTGATCTGATTATTCTCTTCTTTTGTTGACAAGAGACTGTTAAGTCAGACATTTCTTCAGTTGCACCTTCCTTAGATAATTTATCAGCTCTTTCATTTCTCGGAACTCCACAGTGGGATGACATTTATTGCATAGTTATCTTTCACCAGTTGCCTAGTTTGGAGAGTAGTTTCCGTATACCAGACATTTTTCCAAAATAAAATACCTGAAGTACCGCTCTTACATCTGTCAGGAATACCACGGAATGTGCAAAATGACCTATATTTAGCAGTTTCCCCTCTGTTATTTTGATGGCTCTAACTTCTGCATCATAAATGCGACAGTGCTTTCCTGTTGGTATTTTGGCTGTATATCTATTATTTGGATGTTCAATGTACACCTAAATGATAAGGACTGAAATTGATCATACAATCCATTAAAGAGAAAGAGAGAGTTTGGCCATATGATTAGAATCTCTTAGTGCAGGAGTGGCCAGATTTTTTTTGGGTGTGTCCACAGGTCAATTTTAGAATTACCTACCAGATAGTATGCACTCACACCCAATGAAAGAAAGATCAGATAATCTGGCATTAATGTGTCTATAATGTAGCAGCTTTGTCCATCGGGGGGAAAAGACTTAGAAGACAGTATCAAGCAGATCCACCCATGAGAACAACAAAGCTGAAACCTACCCTATAGCTTGGGAGCAAGTCAGTGATGCAATACAAAGACTTTAATCAATGGACTCACAGCTGGAGATGAGTCTAGTGACCATCAAAAACAATCAACTGCTCTTAGCATGATCCAGGAAAACTATCCAGAACTTTTGTTGCAGTAGTCTTCTTCTTCTTCATCTTCATATTAACCAGCTGTAAACTCCAACAGAAAGTTCTGGCAGCTCATCCACCTCTAGACTTTAGTTTTGTTCTAGAACCTAATGTTGCATGCACATATCTGGCTTATTTGTTTGCAGCTTTTGATTCCCTGCTTCTAAGGCAGATTTACTCAGACTTCGAAGGATGCTACAGCGACGTTCCTCCATTTACCCCGGAGTGTTAACTCTGGTACCCATTACCTAGAGTCTGGGTGAACCCTGGAAACCGTCTGGTTTCTCCTATCAACTGTGCTGCGGACCCCTAATGTTGAGGGAGTGTAATGAACATCAGTATAAGTGATCTTTCTTTCTCTAAAGGTTGTTGATACCACTGCTTTATCCTTTTCCTCATAGCCTTATCCTTACCCTATGCTCATTATATTTCTTAAACATGGCCCTCTGTGGCAGGTAATCTTCTTCTTCTTCTTCATGTTGACCTACTGTTAAAATGTGGCAGAAAGTCCTGGTTGTTCATCCACTTCTGGACTTTGGTCATGTTCAGAAACCTGATTTTTGTGTGCACATCAGTTTGACTGATATAGCTTATTTGTGTGCAGAATGTTGGTTCTAAGGCACTCAGACTTAGGAAACACCCCCTCCCAGGCGCCTTGTATGACATACTTGCCAGAGGCAGTTGGTATACTCTGTCCTCCCCAAAATTGGGCCCTAGAACCCACACGGAGATGGCGGGTAGTGATATGGCATCAAAAATGTCTTCTTCTTCTTCTTCTCAGCAGTATTGTAGAAGGTGTCATAATTGTCTGCATTGGTCTTAATTTCTTTACATGTTACATGCATAAACATGACAGACTGTGATTTACCTTGGGACTAGTTTTTCTGGAATTTTGTTCATGGGTAAAGAAAACCGGCTTGTCTGCCTTGCGTGTAACATCAAGAGGTCATGTCTGTACAGACAGGGTGTTTTTCCTGTTGAGTCACACAATATTTTCTTTAAAATAAATAAAGCATGTATTTAAATATAAAATAAAGCATGAATTTAAAACAACATAACATTTGCCTGACAGACAAGTACTGAAAAAAGTTAAAAAAATTAAGGACTTTTCTTCACAACATTATCAATGCTTGGTCTTCAAATGAGAGACCTAACTTCAAAATACTTTGGGGGGGAGGGGGTGGGGGGGGGGGGGGGGGGGGGGGGTTCCATTTAAAAAAAAAGACCTGTGAACGTGCATGAAACTTTTTAATCTCCATCTTCTTATTATTCAACCTAAAAAGGGTTGTCAGAGCATTGCATTGTGGTTTACAGTTAGGCTGCAATATCGGTGGCCTTTTGATCCAACACACCCAGTATCAGCAAATCCTTAATTAGTCACCTTTGACATCTTGCCAGTTAGTGGACAATCAATTTCTTCTTTAGCAAATGGGGCCCCAGAACCTACATGGGAACTTACAAGAAATTGCTTCTTCTTCTTTTCATTCATCCAAATAATGTAAATGTGTTGTGCCTGTTTACAGCTGAGATGTGATATTTGTGCCTTTTGGATGACACAACTAACTTCATCTGGCATTTGCTGACGGGGTTAACTTCCCGACTTACTGAACTGGGATAAATCCCCTATGAGTTGAGTTACCTTCATCTTTGTGCCAGGCATGAAGGTATTGTTGGCAGTGAAAGAGCTGACAAGATTGGCCAGTTCTTGCATTAGTTTTAGACAGCCGGTCTATGGATTGCATCGACACTGTAAATGCCCATAGAAAGAGATTGATCTGAAGATTTTGGGAGCAGCGTGTCCACATCTCTGCTAAGAATGCAAGCATGAGAAGCACCCCTAACGTACAAGAAGTTTTCTTAATCAATACAGGACTGGCACTATGAACCGCTGTAGGCTGATATGTATGCTGAAGAGGGCATCTCAGCACCTATGTGTCCTAAGTGCTGTAAAGATAACCCAACACGTAACTCAACAATCAAATATTTTATTTCTCTAAGTCTCACCTGATAATGACATCAGGATATCTTTATGTGCATACAACCAGATACATCTTCTTGCATGTACCTGAAAAAAAGATAACACTTTTAAATACAGTGACTGGTTATATCTGTCTTTATTCTGCAAACAGTGACCAGTAAGATAATCTAGGCGCAAGTGAACAGTGCAGAGGCACAAACTGATCATTAGGATCTGAGGAGAATGGTGCTTCGAGGAGTGACCAGGGGATATGGCCCACGCTCAACACTCCGGGAAAGGGTGAGATAGATATTTAATCAGACTGTTACTGGTACTTTCGGAGTTGGAACTCTGCACTTACTGATGAATATGGGGAGGTAGCGATTAAGGGAACGAGGGCTGTTATGTCGATTCTTGATTCAACATCCAATATTTAAAACCTGACCAAATATGCCCGCAGAAGTCAGATGTGTTGGCCGAAAGGTGCAAATATCGCAGCCATGCTGTAAATGGACACAACGCAATTACATGAACACAGAAGAAGAAGAAACCCTGAACAATGCGTTAGAAGAGAAAGTGAAAAGGGTTGATGTTAGCAGGATGCCAAAGGACAGTAGTAAACCAGCATAGAATCGGTGCTGTCAGACACTACATGCTGAGGGATATATCAAGGAGGGGATCCAAGCACTTATGAACTGAATGATTTGATGTGAAGTGAGGTTGATCTGTCTTTCAAAGGAAATGTTTCATTTGTGTTCACTGACTATAAACTCCAGCAGTAAGTCCTGGTTGTTATTCATTTGTGGACTTTGGACTGTTCCCGGACCCGAGTTTTGCCAGTAAATCCATTTTACAGATCTGGCTTATTTGTATGCAGACTGTTGGTTCCTTGCCTCCCAGGTAAATGCACTCTGCCTTTGAAGAAAACACCCCCAAAATAGTTGCCTCCTATGACATGCATGCTCAAGGAGCAGTAGGTCTATCTCCCCCCCCCACCCCCACCCCCATGGGGGTCACTGAAAACACACTGGAATTTGAAGAGAAATGTATTCACCTCTCCAAATCAGAGGTCAGTTTGCTTACCGTCTGCAAACAATTTTTGAAAGATTTACCTCTTCTTGACATATTTAATCCAGGGTTATTAAATTTTATAACCTTGTGAGTATATTTTCTCACCCAACAATTTGCCACAGCACTTTTTTCATGGTCTACCCTGTGTGATTTCCAACTGCAGTGGGAATTCCCCCATGTCACCTATGTCTAAACAGGTCTGAGATACAACCTCACTACCCAGTGATTCCAGTGCTAACGTATGGACGCAAGAGTTGGAAAGCAACAATAGCTCTAGATTTAAACTAAATTCAGACAATTTTGTGAGCAGATGTCTTAGAAGAACACTGAATCTCCACTAGACATATTTCAGATCCAATTCACAAATAAGACAAGAGACAATCAAGATAATGCATCCAATTTTAAAAGAATGTGCTGCTAGAAATATACTGACAATGCACTCAGAATGGATAAGACCAGACTCCCCCAGCAAGTCCTCATATGGATACCAGAGGGGGGGAGGGAGGGGGAGAACATGGAAGACCAAGAGAGACTCTACGTAGAACCATCATCAGGAAAGGCTCAACCATGGGCCTACTGAACATCCAAGACCTAAAACGGATGGCAACGAACCACCAGACATGGAGAGCTATGACCTCTGCTCTATGTGCCGCCTCAGGCTCAAGATTAAAGACTAACTAACTACCCAAGAAATCAAGGAATGTGTGATATCATTTTTAAAAAAAAAATTTTTGGTCACATCTTCCTTCCCAATACAAGGATGCAAACTTCTGAGACCGTGTCTTGTTCTCTTATCAGGAAAGATGAGTGTTTGGAAGGGCTGAATGTAAGATGGGCCGGGCCTGTGTGCCCAATTTGTGACCCTTTAAACAAAATTTTTATTCATCTGAATCATACAGATTGCAGAGACAGACTGAAGTTATGGTGTCTCAGAAAGTTCCAGGCTCAAATTCAGTTCCTCCCCATGTGGGTTCCAGGACCCCACTTTACAGAATGTAGAATTGACCCACTTCTCCCCTAACAAGCACATTATAGCAGGTGACTAATTAGGAGAGTTTCTTTCAAAGTTAGACTGCATCTGCCTGAGACAAGGCACCAACTGTCTGCATACAAATAAGCCAGATCTGTAAAACAGACAAGCGCACGGAACTCAAATTCTGGGTCAAGACCAAAATCAAGGAGTGGACAAACAACCAGAACTTTATGACTCTCGGAGTTTACAGCTGGTGAATGCTAAAAAGAAAATGAAATTCAGTTCTGAATTTTCAGAACAATTTTGTTCAAAGAAAGCAAGTGACATTATACCACTCCATGATGTCAACATAGTGGATTAGATCCTGGTTCTGTCACAGGTTGTCACACTGTTCAACATCTGCATTGCTATGGTCAGTCTCTTTCTGGCTTTTTTAACACAGTCTGGAATGTGTATAACAATAAAACCAAAGTATTCTTCTCCTGCATTAGCCTTTAAAAGGGGCGATTGGAACGCTGTGTTGTGATTTACAGATAGGCTGCAATATACGAACATTTGAGCCCAACACATTTAATTTCACCTAATCACTTAATTAGTTCCCTTTAATGATACTATGCTTGGAACCCACAAAGGAAACAAAGTACTCAAAAGTGTATGGCATATTCACCTTTGTCACTGTTGATTTAAGTTTTGCTTGACACAAAATTGTGTGTGTGTAATTCTTTCTTCTTTTGCCAGTAACTGTGTTGTAGTGCAAGGCATCGAAGTTTAACAGACAACTGGTAGTTGAGCCAGGGAGCACTCAGCTGCTTGACTCAGCTGTGACATGGTGAAGTTTTAGGCTCCAACTGACTCCCACAATCTTCTAGATCTCACTCTGACTTGGCAGAGTCATCTTTAGGTTGTATGCTCTCCCTGCCGGCATCACTAGATTCCTTTTCATCAGGTAATCAAACTATGATAGTTTTAGTTTCTCAATTAATGTAATGATCGGGAAGGTTTTCTGATATCTCTTCATTCCTCAATCTATCTCCTTTTGTCTGAAGCCTTTCTCAGACATCTTATTTTATAGTTGGTTGTTCCTTTAATGTTCAGAAAAAGATGTTCATATTCACGGGGTGTTTGTTTTAATTATTCTAGTTCCCTGGCACTGTTTTGGAGAAGCACACCATCATCCACATTTCTCTGTTCTGAAAATGAAGATGTGTGTTTGTGAGAGTTTGTGTAAGTGCAGTAATACAGTAATACAGGTGTGTGCTTTGTATATCAAACAACGTACAATAAACAAACACATACGCATACTCATTTATCAAAGCAATCACATACAGCCACACAAAAACATACCAATTCCATTGACGCTTCATGAATTTCATTCAAATTTAAACTGTATAAACCTTCATTGGCACCTAAGAAAATGTACTGATCTGGGGAAAAACAGTAATTCAAAAAACAATAAGAACATGTATCATTTGAATAGCAATGAGGCAATATAAAGAAGAAACAGTAGGAAACCAGATGGAATACAAAAAAACTGAAAATGTATTAAAAAATAATAAAAACAAATTAAAATTTACTTGTATGGAGTATATTTACACATGAACTGGACTGGGACACAATGGAAAAGAGTAAAGTAGTCTGTTTCAATCTGGATATACATTACTCGTTGTCAGTATCAGCATCCTAGCACAACGATCTAGCCCATTTATTCTCCATTCTCCGATGCAGCAGCCACCTCAGTGCTCTGTGCCCAGCGTACCCAGTAGTACTTTACTGGCATATCTTCTGTCTTTGCCCCGCAAATGGTTTCTATACGCCTGTCCCCCTTTAATCATTTTATCAGGCAGTTCAAATACAATACTAATTTAAGTATATGATGTACACTCCTATATATATATATATATATATATATATATATATATATATATATATATATATATATATATACTGCTTGTGTGTGTGTGTATATATATATATACACACACACCCACAAGCTAATTCAGGCTTGATGTGTATAGCAGTCTTCTTCTTCTTCTTCTCAGCATTCAGTGGCTGTTAACTTCCTGTGTAAAGTTCTGGTTGGGCCTCCACTTCTGGGCTTCAGTTTTGTTCCAGAACTTGAGTTCTGTGTTTATGTTTCACAGATCTGGCTCATTCATATGCAGACTGTTGGTTCCTCACCTCTCAGGTACATGCATTTTGACTTTAAGGGAAACACCCCTAATTAGTCACCAATTACACCATAGTTGTTAGAGAAGAAGTAGGTTTATTCTTTCTGTCCCATAACTGGGGCCCCAGAAATACACACGGGGAGCAGTCATTGTTCACTGTTCATTTTAGAGATCCATCTTCATCGCACATCAGGACTTTCTGCCAGAGTGCACAGTCAGCGAATGCAGATGAAGCACAAGCAATCAGAAAGACAAAGGCCCTGGTGATGCGAATATACTAGAGAAAAGGCTTATATTATTGAAACAAATAATAAACAATCAAACATAGAGCTGGAAATAAAAAGAATGAAAACGAATTAAATAAAAGGGCACAAAAATGTAATTTTTCAGTCACACTATAAGTTATGATAAAGAAATGTGAAAACTAAACAGCAGAGAACAAAATACGGACAGCAATATAAATGAGAGGATCACATCAAGAGATGGACAATATGCAGTCGGAGAAAAAGGGTTGGAGACAGAGAGTCTTGAAGAGTGAATGCGGGCCAAATTTTACTATGGAGAGGCATCTGATTCTTCTTTGCATTCACTGGATGAAAACTCTGACAGAAAGTCCTAGTTATTCATCCATTTCTGGACTTTGGTCTTGTTTCCAAGACTTGAGTGTTGCGTGTACATCCATTTTACAGACCTGGATTAAGTGTCTACAGACTGTTTTGTTCACTGCCTCTCAGACAGATGCACTGTGACTTTGAAGAAAAAAGTCAATCCTATCGGAAAAGATCATGTGATCAATTTGAAGTTATCATGGTAATCAAATGACTGCTTTCAAATTTCATGTGGATAGATGTACAGCAACTCAACAGTATGGTTTATGCATTTCAGCCAGAAAAGGATTCATTTTGTGCTTTATTATATGTTTGCTTATCTCTGTAGTAACTCACCTGACAAGATACCGCAAAATAAGCCAGGAAATAAATTGTGCAATGTATTGTTTGTCTCCGCATTATTTAAAATTTACAATGGGAAAACATTGTTTTGAATCCTATCTATGTCGGCCAGGTTCCGGTGAAAGAACCTATTACAAGGATGACTACAGAAAGGTGCAGATAGCTCCTAATCACCATGAGTGCTCTCCCTAGTGCAATACCACCGCCTGAAGAGTAAACAAAGGAACAATTACACTTACCACGTGATTCAGGATGTACCCAACTGGCAGTGCAGTTTATATTAAGTGGGCAACCATTGAATACTTTTGAAAAACAAGCTCCCATCTGAAAATATGCAACAGAACAAACACAGGTTCGCAAGAAGTTTTTCTAAAGAATATAATATTTTTATCTACTTCAAACATGATATTTTGATTGTCCAAATCATGCGGTGATATCCTTCCTACCAGTTCATAAGCGTCTAATGTACTATCAGCCATATCAGACACAGATGTTCTTCCATATCAAAGTACCACACTGCCCAATATCCTCTCTTCAGTTTTCCCTTGCCTATGAAAACAAAGACAACAAAGATAATATCACTATACCCGAGCATTAAAGTCTGTTTCAAAAGTCAGGCCCAACTTTAAAAATCTGCAACTCAGTAACCACTTGGTGTAATTATGTCCTTGTAGAAAAATAATTATAATTTAAACATCCTGCCTTTGATAGTCTTCTTCTTCTTATAGTCTATGCCGTTTGGCGTTGGCAGTCATATCTATCAACAACCTTCTATCCCATATATTTTCAATTAATTCTTACACAGATTTCCATAGGTCACGCCATGTGGCATTGGCAGTCATGTCTATCCGCAACCTTCTGTCTTGTGCATTTTCAATCAGTTTTGACACAGATGATCTTTCATACCATGGTGTCAACCTATCCTGTCTTTTCCCCTCCAACTTCCACACTGTCATGATGTACTCCAGTTTTCTCCTTCTCATCACATGACCAAAGAAAATAGATTGTCTTTTTCTGATGTGGGCAATCAGTTCTCTTCGTTAGTAAATTTTTTTATTTATTTCTGGGAGAAACATCATATGATGTCAGGAAAAGTGAATATTATCAGCAAACATATTTTTTTCTTTAATTTTGCCATACCTGTTGATACACCTTACATTTGTAACAATTTGTTTTGATGGGTATTGTTTCATTACACCTGGTATAATAAAAATAAAGCAGAGATGGCATAGTGAAACGCAGCTGGGAAACAAATCCACAACCTTCAGGGTGTTAGGCAAATTGCCCACTTTGCCAGAGAGTCCCGTTCAAAGATAACATCATTCACTCAGACAGACAGAAAGACAGACAGAAAGACAGACAGACAGACAGACAGACAGACAGACAGACAGACAGACAGACAGACAGACAGACAGACAGACAGACAGACAGACAGACAGACAGACAGGCAGGCACGCAGGCAGGCAGACAAGAGTAAAGTAAAGAAAGACAGACAGACAGATGAGAAAATGAATGCAGGAGAGAGAACAATAAATAGAGAGTAAAATGGAGAGAGAAACAAAACCAGAAAGGGTGAGAGTTGGGCAGGGTGTGAATCGCTCAGTATGCAGTCCTAGTGAGTGAGGTTCAACTTCATTCATTCGTTTTTCCAAGATATCTTCTTCTTCGCATTCACCAGCTGTGAACTCAGGGGGAAAGTTCTGGTTGTTCGTCCACTTCTAGACCCTACTGTAGTCCTGTTGCAGTACCTGAGTGTTGTGTGCACATCTGTTTTACAGATCTGACTCATTCGTAGGCAGACTGTTGGATCCTTGCATCTCAGGCAGATGCATTTCTACGTCAAAGGAAGTTTCTGATTAGTCGACTCTTGCGATATGTTTTTTGGGTAGGCAGTGGGTCTATTCTTGTTTTCCCTACAATCGGGTCCCAGAACCAACACGAGGTTCTTCCAAGATACAACTGATACAATTTATTCGACAATACTTACATGAACTCTGGGTGTTGGTGGAAGACCATTACTGACTGGACGTTGACTAGCCTGAAACTGTAAACAATAACAGAACAAGAGAATAACAATTAGATAATGCTTTTTCAAGATTTAACAGAAAATAATACAGCTTAATGACTAAACTTGTAAATAACAAAGATAACCGAGCACTATCCAGTCCCTTCCAAATATTGTGCCCAACTTTAAAAACTGTCATTCTGTAGTAACTGTCATTCTGTAGTAACCATTGGGTGTAATTTGTTGAAATTTGGCAAACTGTTAACAATCAATTCATTGTAGAAAAAATTAGAATGTAAATAAACACTTTTGTGGTATAAGTATATAAAAAAAGACACAAATTCAAAGCCTACAATTAACATGTTTACAGCAAAAAGCTTGGCTTGGCAAAACATGCACTTTGTAGGTAATCTGTGCAAGAAATTAAGGTTCGCAAATTTTGAATAGTAAAGTGGAAACATCATGTACTGCCATAACGCTTGCTGACTGGCTCATAAAAAATACAAATTATTAGTCTGACAGAGACCAAAGAAGTCTGCCGCTGTAAGAAAACAGCAGCACCCATACAAGCGTAAATTATGAAAAGATAAGGACATGGGGAAATATAAGTCTGCATGCAAAGATTTGTGTTCATCCACACCAAAGTTTTCAAGCTATCTGTTAAAGTCTGAGTTCACAACTGTTGAACAGGCTACAGGGTTCAATTTCAAGGCTGGATAGGTTTTTGTTTGTTTGAAAAAAATGTGGAAGAGACTGGGGTCTCACCCTGTAACACTCCCACAGACGACAGTGAGTTTACAGCAAACAATTCAACAATATGAGCAAGTAAAGTAAAGGTTCCTTTTCCACGCCTTTAAGCATATAAGGAATCTAGGGCTAGACTTATATTTTTATAGGCCAATCTGCACTTGGTGGATGATGTGGTCAGCGTCAAGCCGGCCGCCTTTACTTCCCACTGGTACCCACTCAAAGGTGGGTTGACATGGGAGTCAAAGTCATTTTTAATGGGGGGGGGGGGGGGGATAAGAACCTACAACCTTCCGATCCACAGGCGGGCGGGTGTCTAGCCACTAACGCCACCCAACAATATGAATACACTTGTGGAAGAAAAAAAATAATATAATGATGACTGCAGTGATGACATAAATAGGGGGTGATTGCCATCAAGCTGTTTACAAGAAGTGGAAAATTCAACATAAAACATGACAAAAAGCTCAAAGCAGGAAATAGAAAAGACTCGTACAAATACAACTGAATGTCTATAGCCCGTTATGTATATAATTGTTTTCCCCCGTTGTGTATTTCTTGGTTTCATGCTGATCTTGATTGTTCAGAAGATCTTTTGTCTTGTCCATTTAGCTTTACAGTCACAATGTGTGTTGTATTTAGTAGTCAACTGATAAAGATGTCATCATCATCATGTAGCAGGTCCTTTGCAGAATGTCTCTCTCATCAGTCTGCCTGAAAGAAACTCGGTCTCTCGCCAGTTCTCCCGCCTCATGCACTTTCACACTCAAGGAGTCACTTATATACTTTGCCCATCTTTGTGTCAGTCAGGCCCTGCCCCTCCTTCCTGGTACCATGCCTTCTGCTATAATTTTTTCCAATCCGTCGTGGCGCTGAATATGACCAAAATATTTAAGCTTTCGAGAAAGGATGCTGTTTATTAGCCAATCTTCCTTGATGTTCAGATCTTTTAAGATGTCAATATTTCTCATCTTCTTTGTCCAAGATATTCAGCTTAGAAGCCTGACAATGTATTCAGGCAAAAATCACCAAAATTTTACTATTGCACAATGCCAACGATATGTTCAGGCAGAAATTGAAAGAACTTACTTCATCTTTCTTTGTTCTCCTTCGAGGAGGTATTGCAGGTGGTTGGTCCTCAACTTTGGCAGGAGATTCCCCGTTTTGTGTGTGTAGGGCATCTCCATTAAGGTGGGGGGACTGAAGCCGTGGTGGAGGCAGAGAAGGTGGACTGTCATTCTCATCTGCACTGTCTAACATCTCAAGTTTAGCTGATTGAAACAAAAAAACAAAAAGACTAGTAAATACTGTCTAACATCTCAAATTTAGATGACTGACAAAAAACAAAGTACCAAAAAAATAATAAGTATTTATTTTACCAAATCAGTTGATGTTTGGAGGGCGGATTGGGGGGTATTAAAACACCTTTCTCCCATTGTAAATTTAAATGATGTGGACACAAACAATACAGTGTACAATCTAATGCCTGGGATATTTTGCTACATCTTGTCAGGGAATTATTATATGTTGATTGCAAGGTAATATCAATTTCATCAACAAATAATGAATCTCGTAATTCGTGAAAAGGATTCATTATATGTTAATTGCAAGGTAATAAGTTTGAGTGAGTATCAGGTAAAGTCTTAGGAAGTAAAGGCAACCAGCGTGGTGCTGACTACACCACTAAGTGTTGAACTGTCTATAAAATATAGGTCTAGCCCTATGTGCCTAATACGCCCGAAATGTGTCTTTTACTACTTTTACTCTAAGTTAATAAATTTATGTTTATGTTTATTAAACGGATCAACATCACAGAACATGGGTGTAACCGATAAGTGCTCCGTTCTTCTTCAAACTCAAGTCTGAGTCCGAAGAATTGAAGTTCAGTGCACAAACTCTGTTGCACCATCGAGGATCCTCAAATACTTTGGGTAGATGTTCAACTCCAAATTTGTCCCGGACAGTGTCATTAGGCTACTCTTTTTGATTTTATGTGTGCAACAATACACACACGCATCCGGTTTTACTACCCACAGACGAGGGGAATTACTAAAAATCCATGCTTAAAAAAATTCCAGCCTCACTGCGGCTTGAACCCGGGACCTCTAGCACCCAGTGAGGACACCATGCCCCAAGACCATGCAGCCTAAGTTAATAAATTGTGCCTCAGTAATAAAGGTCATAGGTTCACAGCATGAGTTACCCGATTCATATGTGTTTAAGACCTTTGGAAATGTATTCCATTTAATGCTTCACCCTTATGTTACAGATTCCTTCCTTTAGTTCCCATATGGGTTCTGGTGGCCCCATAGTGGGGGAAACAGGAACAGATTCACTGCCTCTCCAACAAGCATGTCATAGGAGTCGACTAACTGAGGACCTCCTTCGAAGTGGGAGTACATTTGCCTGAGAGGCAAGGAACCACAAGTCTGCATACAAATAAGCCAGATCTGTAAAATGGATATGCATTTAACACTCAGGTTTTAGAGCAAGACTAAAGTCCGAAGGTGGAAGAACACCCAGAACATTCTACCAGAGTTTACAGCCAGTGAACGTGATGAGAAAGAAGACTTCCTTTATATATCTTTAAATATTTTTTTTAAAGAAATATTTTTTAATGTAGATAAATTAATTTTTTTTTAAATCATCTGTGACTGTAAAACGTTTATTTTCATTTTTACTTTTTAAAAAATGATTTTTCAGGAATTCTATCAGGTTCATTACTTCTTTATTAGCATTTGCAGGGTGAAAGAGGTAAAGCCAAACCAGTACCTTCACTTGAGACAACCAGACTAGGTAAGGAGGATGGACATGCAGCTTGGTACGGTGTCAGTGTCAGCCCTCTGTCAATTAAAGCATCCAAATCGAGACCGTTGTCTTCTATAAGGTCGTCGTCGTCAGCACTGACATCGGACTTATTGCTGTCTAATCTTTCACGGCCTCCCTTGGCACTGGCAAGTTCTGCTGAGGCCTGCAAAGTACATCCGAAAGTACAATATAATTACAGAGATGCTAAAATACATGTGGCCAACATAGTTATGATCAACATTTCATTTGAAGTTGGAGTGTATCTACCTGAGAGGCGAGGAAACAGCAGTCTGCAAACAAATGAGCCAGAACACTTAAGAAAAGATATAAAACCGAACGAAAAGTATATCAACAGAACACCAAAGTCCTGGAACCAGACAAAAGGTCAGAAACGGATGAACAACAAGGACTCTTCACCAGGGTGTACAGCCGGAAACACAAAGAAGATAAATATGTGCTGTCGTGATAAGGGTAGGTAGTCGTGGTTCAACATCTCATAAGGTCGTGGATCAAGTTTTGTATTTTAGTTTTGCCCGTGTGATCAAGCCATTAGGATATTTATCTCTTGCTCTGCCAGCTTGCACTGAATTTTCAAAGTTAGTAATAGCTGTAATAGATATTTTAATTGCAATTCTTTTTCTTCTTCAGTATTCCAAGCCCTTGAGATTCCTTGCTGCTGATATCACCCGCTTCCATACATATCTCTGATTGGCCTTCTCTTGTTCATAGCGGTGCCTGTATATTTTTTCTCCACACTCTTCTTGGTCTCCCTCAATTTTCCTATAACTCTTTTCTCTGCTGTTTGTATTTTTTGATGGGTCCAGAGATTTCCACTGTAATAAAAGAAAGTAACTGGCAGCCATCACTTAATGGTTGTCATTAAATAGAACATTATCAGAAAGGGAATGGGAATGAAACAAGAAATGATTGCAGGAAGGATGAGAGCTGAGTGTCTGAGAAGAAACACACTAAACACAAATGTTGACAACAACGGCCGTGAATCCCATGCTATAACTGTGGAAGACTTTTCTTAACATGAGTGGGTCTTGCTGGTCGCAGTCACCATTGCCATGGGCTGTGAGTCCCATGCCTCCTAACAGCACAATACAACACTATTGTCTGGAAAGATGACAAGGTGCCAACATAGACAGTTAAGGTTAGTTGTGTATCCTTTACAGGATGTTGCAGAACCAACCCCAGCTGCCCCTGGTTTCTCTAGGCAAATTTACGTCCAGTAGTTTGCCATTGCTTTCTGACAGTCTGCTCCCTGATACCACTGTCGAAACCAACGCAAGGCGCATGGCCTGCAGCTGGGATCGAACCCGGCACCCCGGCATTACGAAGCGTTCGCATACTCAAATGTACTGTTTTGAACTAGTATATGTTGTTGCACATCCAAATGTGTTGCAGACTCAAATGTACTATTTTGAACATTTACACTGTTGTGCACTCTTAACAGCTGATCTGAGTACAATGCAGTGCATGTGACATGAACAGAATGAATAAAATCACCACTTGAAAAGCAGATGGACAAAGATTAAGGTAACAGCAGTATCTAAATGCTTTCAATTAACTATTATCTTCTAGTTTCATTGCAGCAAAAATGTAATACATATTCAATGCTTTAACAGTACAAGATGAGCCAACCTTAGCAGAAGGTGAGCTGCTGAGCTGCAATGTAGGTCTGCAATAAAACAGAAACAATAAAAGTTTATTACTGTTTTGTTTGAAACAAGTAAAGCAGTAGTTATATCAATATAAAACAGCAAAGGACCCTTTGCAAATTAGGTAAATGGTAAGCAAGTAAATAAACAACCCGACTATCCTCCGAATAACAGGCACAAAAGATGGCGGCCGCAAAATATCCTTAAGAGCCTCAGTCACGTGTCAATTGAGCACTTCCGGCGACTTAATTTGCGGTTTTCCGGCACCGCCACGAGTCACTCATGTGGCGTGGATTGGGGCTAAACTAGATGGCTGGGACTCACGAGCAAAGCTGCAGGAGATGCGAAAGCATATAGTGCTAGACATATATTTTTTTTTACAAATGAATCAACATTCGATGAGTTATTTGATCAACAAAAAGTCACCAGCCTTTACTTCCCTGAACATAACCTGGAGCATATTTTAGGCTGGCCTGACCCGGGAACCAGAGTAATTTTATTAAAAAACCCATTGATGTGGATATGAACCCGAGTCCTTCAAACCGGCAAACAATTGAGCAATTAGCCACTTGTGGCTACAGCTTTCCAAGCTGGATATACCATATTTTAAATAATGCAGGCACAAATAAAATATTATTTAAATTCGCAAGGGGGGAAACAGTAACATGAAAACTATATTTTACTGACTATAATAAATTTTCTTTCTCTGAGAAATCACCTTTAGAATTCTGATGTGTCTTATTTCTGAAACGACCAGCCTTCATCTGCATTCATTCTTAACAGGGTGGCTGGCATGCTGTGTTGTGGTTTACAGATAGGCTGCAATATCTAACACATCCGATTTCAGCACACCCTTAATTAATTACCTTCCATGACATACTCCTTAGAAGGCCAGCAGATCTACCCCCCCCCCCCCCCCCCTCCTCCCCCATCCCATCAAAAAGGGCCCTGGAAGCCACACAGGGACAGACCGATATATTTTCAGTCTCTGAATTACCATTACCAGCCAGTTTCTCTATCAGTTTTAACAAAGGCTATATTTCTGATGTCTTATAAATTTATTATGTATAGACCCATCCCAACAAAATCTTTTCAAGACATCAGACTATATGTACAATAATTGTGTTCAGTAGAAAAAAATCTATGACTGAATGCAATGTTATAAATTAAATGTACTATGCAATTTGCTTTGCTATAGTGAAATAAAGACAAACAAAACTACACTGCTCTCACAGATGCAAACTACACTGCAATAATGGAGCCACTCTTAAACAGGTGCAGAAGAGACAGGGAAAAAACAAACAGGTGTACAGCATTTGAATCGTTTCTTAAGAGACAGTTTTTTTTTCATAGAACAACCCTTTTGATGTTAACTGACCATCAAGCATATAGTCTAAACATAATTTTTTTTAAACAGATCAATCCGCACTCAAAGGGTGACATGGTCAATATTATGCCAGCCAACCTTACTTCACAGAACATTCCTTAGAGAAAAGTAAATGGTATTTCTGATACTGCATTTACTTCACAGGAGATTTCCTACAGAAAACAAACGATTTGTTTTGTTTCTTCTCACAGGACAACCCCTGGCGAAATGTAGTAAAGGGTCCTTTAGATGTCACTTGCACATCAGACATATGATGCTAGACCCATATTTTCAGAGACCAATCTGCACTTGATGGATGATGTGGTGAACATCATCATGACCGCCTTTACTTCCTAGGATTTTTCTTAGTACTCATTTTAGACTGGATCAGCTTGTCAATCATGTCAATTTTTTTTTATGCAATAGTATAAATGCCGCTTTATTACATTTTTTATTGCTTGTGCTTAAAAGGGCAGTTGCCATACTGTGTTGTGGTTTACAGTTGGGCATAGATATCTGCCACTTTCGGCCCAACATATCCAGATTCACCTAGACCTTTTAAGTCCAGTTTTACGACACGCTTGTTAAGAGACAGTAGGTCTATTGTTATTTCCCCCGTAAATAGGGTCCTGCAACCCACGCTGGGACAATGGGGATTCTTCTTCTCTACATTCACTGGCTGTAAACCCCGGCAGAAAGTTCTGGTTGTTCATCCACTTCTGAACTACTGTCTTGTTCCAGACCTGAGTTTTATGCACATCAGTTTTACAGATCTGGCTTATTTATACAGAGGCTGTTGGTTCCTTGCCCCTCATGACGATTATTTCGACTGTGAAGGAAACATCCTAATTAATCAGCTTTTATGACATGCTTATAAGGAGGGCAGCAGATCCCCCCCCCCCCCCCCAGGGCCCTGGATCCCACACCGGGACAATGTGAAATCAAACCCTGTAACTGTGTGTCAGAAGAGTGATTTTCATATACTTTTTCTTAACTCGGGGGAGGGGATGAAGAATTAAGACCAAATATTTTCTTTAAAAAAAAATAAGATACTAGTTATCTCATGTAAATCAATCATATCTGCGCCTGGCTTCGGAGTTACAAATGTGGTTTGCAACTGCATGATACCCGATCTGGTACAGTTGCAGGCAATTTCGCAGCCTACTGTCTTGCGCTGATTCCGACAAAGGTATCGAGTGCAAGTGTTCAGCAAGCAATGGCAAACTACTGAACATATAATTGCCTAGTAAAACCACAAACAGCCAAGAAATGCTGGGATAGGTCGGCAGTGTCCAGTACAGGATGTACAACTAACTACATCAATCCTATTGCTATCATTAAGACAAAGAGATAACAGCTACACTAGAACTCTTATTTCAAACACCATCACCAAATATTTAAAAAGAAAAAATATTTAAAAAACAGGGCAAGTGAAATAAATTGTGCTGTGCTCCCAAATTCCTACCCAACCCACACTCCAAAGAAGTGCATTAAAAAAGAAAGCGATAGCAAACAAATTTAACTCATTCAGTGCAAAGCAACTCACCAAATGTCTCTCACAAAGTCCATGATATGCTTCATTTATCCATTTGTATCTAATTTAGTTGATATAATAATCTACTCAATCCTAAGAATTCCATTTATTTCTTTCCCACAGTCATCAGAACTCCTTTAATCTTAACATTTGTTAGTTTAAAGAAGAGGTGGCCAGTGCATCAACCAGGGTCTACTAGTCGAGCTACGGTGGCCGAGCCTTGTGTGACACTCTCGGCAGATGTGCTCAGCCATATGGCATTAAACCCAGTACAATTAATTAAGTTGATCTTCATGACTTTAACCTTACCAGCAAAACATGAGGAGTCTGTGTAACATACTGTCCCAACCAAATACAATTACTGTTCTTTGATTCCCTCTATATAGTCTACAGTCTATAATGTAGACCACCAGTGACTTCCAAAATGAAAAACCTATAAAATGATGCCACTGATGGTTTGGGAGCTGCTAGATGCACGCCTGCAGATCCGAAGGTCATAAGTTCAAATCTAAACAAAGCCAGACTTTTAAAAAAAAAATTTGAGCTTGGCTTCCAGCTTACCAAACCTTAAAAGGTTGGTGGTAAAGTCCTAGGAAGTAAAGGTGGACAGCAAGATGTCAACCATATCACCCACCCATGCTGACTGATCTATTAAATATAGGCCTAGCAGTATATGCCTATTAAGCCTGCAGGCGTGGAAAAAGGTCCTTTACTTTACACTGCTGGTTTGAAGCAACACCTGCACCAGATGTCGGCATCTTAGAGGTTACTAATGCAGTTCACTGCTTCAAAATACCTTAGTCAATTCAGCTGTAGACGATTTGGCAGCCAAGCACACAGTCTTGATTTCAATAATGGTAGGAAGTATCGCCGTTCAGTAAGAAATGGCAAATACTGAATCTAAAACTGTTCAATAAAATCACAAACGGCAACAACAAAAGATGCTGTAGTTGGCCTGCAACAGCCTTGAGGGGGATATGTAACAAACTGTGTCAGATAAAATGGGTTGAAGTACGAATTATCTGGTACTGAATGAGTAAAAGCCACTGGTGTACTCACATACTAGCCCCAACACCTTTAAACTGGATACTAATCACATAAGTATCTTAGGCAACAATAACAGAGACTGCAGTAAGGAAGGCATGCATGTGCTTGGAGCTACAGATCATTCAAAAACAAAACAAAAACAAACAAAAAACAACACCCACATCAGCTGCTGATTTCGGATTAAAGGCAAACTGCAACTCGTCTCCAAAATGTTCTACTGATCATTTTGGTAAACAGGAGTGGCTGGCAGAGCAGTTAAAACTTAACTCTTATTCGAGAGACCCAGGTTCGAATCCTATGTACAGTGTCAGGGGGGTACAAATAAAATTGTAATATCAGTCCATGGGGATGATGCAATCCTAAGTCTGCAGACAAGGCAAGCTCATTTCCACCACCCCTTAATTTTTTTTACAGTGACCTAAAAAAGTAGCTAAACAGGCTCTAATACTTTATATATGTGTTAAAATGTTAAGAAGCCAAGGTAGTACAGTGGTTTGTACACTTGCCGGCCAAGACGATGATTCACTTTCAATGCCAGTAGAGGCAGAATTGTTTACTGACCATTACAGTGAAAAGACAGAACAGATACGAAATGAATTTTGAAGGTCGCCTTCAGATATCAAGAAAAGACTTTTGAAAGAGTGAACAGAAAATTACTCTAGGAAGTCCTAGAAATTATGGAATAGAAGAGATGTTGTTCTACTTCACAAAAGCCATCTATACAGAAAGTGGACAGTCATGGATAAAATATAGGCAAATGTCAAACTAGGGGTTGAATCCCCAATTTTTAAAAAAAAATCAGTACCAGAGAACTTTAAATTTGCGAAGAAATGTCTGCAAAAAAAGGACGATGGGGAAGAAAACTGGCCACCTAGCCTTGCATTTCATGGCCTACAATATGAAATTAAGGCCTAATACTTCATAGCTAGATGGTCATCTGCTGATATTTAAAATTAGCACCGAGGTAAACTGTCTTCCAAAATGACCTTGATAGCCAGATCACAGCAGCCTAAAATGAGCATCAGGTAATGTCCAAGGAAGCAGCGGTGGCCTGTGTGATGTTCACCATATCACCCACTGAGTGTGAACTGATCTACAAATATAGGAACAAGCTTAGCCCTATACGTCAGATGAACAATGATAAGTGTCAGTTACTTTATTTTTCTAAATAAACAAATGAAAACCCAAAAGGCAGCAATGCGACTACCATTTAAAATCACAGCTGCCAATTACTGCCTGTACAGATTCAAAGGTTAGTTGCGTATCCTTTACAGGCCGTTGCAGAACCAACCCCAGCAGCCCCTGGCTGTTGTGTGGTTTCTCTAGGCAAATTTACGTCCAGTAGTTTGCCATTGCTTTCTGGATGGTCGGCTTTCTTGATACCACTGTCGAAACCAACGCAAGGCGCATGGCCAGCAGCTGGGATTGAACCCGGCATCCCGGCATTACGAAGCGTTCGCATCGACTTAGCCACAGAGCCGACTTACTGCCTGTACTGACCAATATTTGCAGTGTAAGCGAGTAACCAGTAATATGAATTCATGAAAGACTAAAATGAACTAGCATTGTGTCACCAAAGCCATTAGCTAGCTGAAGGACAGAATAGCAACACTGCACCATAACAATGCATGTCTTAATAAGTGACAAAGTCAAGGCTAGCACATCCTGTAATAATCTTCAGCCACAAAAGTTGCTGGAGAGGCTATGTTCCGTTGGGGGATTGTGAGCAAAGCAGACAAGGAAATAAATCTTATATATATTTTCATTATTCAGTACTGTTTATTGGCTTCTGTAATTAATTCTTAGTATGTATACGCACTTAAAAGGAGACCTGGGTCTGAATCCTCTGTAAGGTTGAGGATTTTTTTTTTCTGTAAGAGGCAAAAATAAAATCCTAATCTGTACAATCCATGAGGACAGCAGTAGCCATGCGGTGCTAAATCCTGAAGCTCAAAGACCCCGCACCCCAGCGTGACACTGCAGAAGTAGTCAATTCGGCCAACAGCGGCTTTTTTTTTCAATACACGCTTGAAAACAATATTTTCTATATGATCATTTTGTAATTAAATTTTGGACAGAGTAATTTGAGATCAATTAGGAAATGTATGAATGCTAAAAGATCCCTTTTCCATGCCTCTAGGCAAATTCAGAATATAGAGCCAGACTTATACTGAGATGAATTTAAGAAAGGTAAAGAAAGAAGAACATGAAAATCGAAACACCAAGAGGCAGGGGAAGACCAAGAAGAATATGGATTGAAGGAGTCACGGACAACTTGAGACTTCATAACATCACGGCATATGAAGCGACTGAGCGCGCCCTGGCTCGGTTGCCAATCATCTGATAGATTGCGACGCCTAGCGGCACAAGCAGATTTTGACAAAAGAAGAAGAAGAAAGAAAGAAGAGAAACATCCAGACAATCATTCATATCAGCAGCTCCAAGAATAAGTACATTTTTTATATATATTCGGAATTAAATTTTGGACAGTCATTTGAGCTCAATGCTTGAGGTAATTTACGAACATTAAATGAGATTAATTCAAGAAATGTCTGGACAACCGTTGGAACAACAGCTCTAAAACAAAGACGACCATGTATAGGGCACACCTTGAAAAGAAACGAGCAGAGAATCACCACATAGCCACTTGAATGGGAAAGAATTGGACTGAAGAGACAAAGATGTCCTGGAGAAACCTTAAAAGGAATGTTTGTGATATAGGACTGGACTCCATCTGTGATACCGAAAGGACTGCATAGGATAGCATGGAAAGAAAGAATAGACGGCAAGCCCTGTGTAACAAATAATGGCACAACAGGGTGATAATCATGATGATGATGATGATACCGAAAATTAAAATATGACAGGTTTCAGATAAATCAAACATTCTTTCATTGACTTCGGTTATAATTAAATCCATGATAAGTTATAAGAGATTTTAAGAAAACATTAATTTGTGCCTTTTCTATGCTAATCTAATTCTCTAGAATGCAAATGACAAGATTTGGCAGCAGGCAATAAATTGTGCAAACTACTGCTTGTGACTTCATCACTCACACTGACTGATCCATGTTCAACCCCACCAGGACCACACAAAAAGCAATAAACATCCAGTGACACAAAGTGCCACCATTTGGGTGAGAATCACCTGGGCACAAGTCCCAGAAACCCCGTTCAACGTTAGGTTACATTAGAACCCCTGACAACAGACCGAGTGGGGGTTGTGAACTAATAAAATACTGCGACCCATATAGGGCATTATGACAACATCACTCACATTCATAATGGTGATTAAACACAAGAACAAACTTCATTTTCAAAAGGCCACAATCTGGGCACAGAAGCCCATCTTAATTGCTTAGAAAAATCAGTAGTTTTTTTTTTCAATGACATATGTTTGTAAAAAGCTATGAAAGTCTTCAAATAAAAACTCCAGACATTATTTATATTTAGCACTATTCTATGACTATAATAAATCATTCTTCCTTTTATGAGGAGTGGATGGCAGATTGGTTTCAATGTCTGGGTCTCATGCAGAACACCTGGGTTCGATCTCCGGTAAGGCAAAGGAATTTTTTTTTTCGGGGGAAAGATTAAACATCCTAACCTGCACAGACTGTGGCAACAGCACTAGCCATGGGGCCCTAAGTCCTCAAGCTCACAAACCCCCTGTCTACAGCGCCCTTTCAAAAAAAAAAAAAAAAATTGTAAAACAGACAGCAGTGTGAGTTTTTTCTTAAATTTATTTACTATTCTGAACCTTTTGTTTTTACAAGAAAACAAATATGATTATCCCTGAGCTGTTCTGTAATAACATTAATAATTAAAAGTCATGAAATGTTTTTTTTTTTAAATCCTGCACACACAATCTACATTCAGTACTTTTATAATAATGATTTATCATTCAGAAACCTTTTAAACAAAAGCAAACATGATTGCCACTGAGAAATGTTCTAATCATATCAGTAATTAAAAGTTATGAAAGATTTCTGACTTACTGCAGACACTTTTAAAATTAAGTTCTGTTTTATGATTATTTTAAATCTAATTAGCAGTGTTCTAATCAAATAAGTTATTAAAGGTTATGAAATATACCCCCCTTTTTCTCCAAACGGCAGACGGTATTTCCACTAATTGCCACTTTGTGACAGTTATGAATATTTCTGAATCTGTTTTCAACAAAAGTCTACATGATTTCCACTGGGCAGAGTTTTAAATCATATCAGCAATTTAAAGTTATGACAAGCCTTAAATCAACCAACTACAGACAACAGTTCCATTAAGTGAATTATACGGCAGTAACTACTTCTAAAATAGTTTAAACAAAAGCAGACATGATTTCAACTAGGTAAAATTTTAAATTTACGAACGATTTTAGTTCAAGTAAATTACTAACATTATTTTTGCTGTGAACTATTTAATATGCATCAGTAATTGAAAACTATGATATACTGATTTTTGTATTAATTGCATCCATAATTAGAAGCTATGAATGATTTTAGTTGAGAAAATTAAAAACACTATTATTATTGTGCACATTAAACAGAATTAGTCATTTTGAAAGACTTTAGATTTAACAATTTGCATTCAGTACTTGAAAACATCGGTCATTTAAAAGTTATATAAAAATCTGATCTAGCCAACATTCTTCTATTCAGTAAATTTAAATGCATACAGTAATTTTAAACATGTATATTCACTACATAATTCATTGGAAGGGAAATGAGGGGACAAACAAACAAAATGAACTGCAAGCAAACTGATAACAAGGAAAGAAAATGTTTTTGTGGCCATGACAAAATGGGTTGACTAAGTCTGGTGCCCATGCATCTAGCCTGCTCTTACTTGTCATGTACTGATGGAAGGGCGTCCTCTAATAATAAACTACTCCGGTGGCCTCTGAAAAAAGTTAGCACTACATGTTTACTCGTGATGAAACAGGCAGTTCATAACAACGCAGAACATGTTGCAGATTGAGAGCTTGAGGTGTGCACTAATAAGCGGAAGCTACATCAATGAGGAGAAAGTCAGGGTGTGTGTGCAAGAGGGAGGCATGGGGGAGGGGGGTGCCTATGAACACACAAAGGAAGACGGATAGAAACAGAAACAATAAAATGGTGAATACATATAGGTATCCTGAAGACAGATAGACATACAAACAGATAGAAAGAAACTGCCTTGGACATGACAAACAGAGAAGAAGAGACAAGGAGAACAAAACTAAGACAGAAAGAAAGAAAGAAAGAAAGAAAGAAAGAAAGAAAGAAAGAAAGAAAGAAAGAAAGAAAGAAAGAAAGAAAGAAAGAAAGAAAGAAAGAAAGAAAGAAAGAAAGAAAGAAAGAAATAAAGATAGAAAGAAAGAAATAGAAACTGGTTTCAGACAAAGACAAAGACGATGACGGCCACAGTCACACAAAAAGATAATGAGAAAACACTGACACATATACCACACACACACACATACAAAAAGAAGGGAATCAAAGAGAGAAACACAGACAGAAACGTACTTTACTTTAGGCAAACTGTAACAAATACGTTTATGAAGAACAACTAACTAAATGCTGTGAGATGACTGTGTTATATCTGATGAATGATAATTGTGCTGATAAACTTCAACAGGTTGACAAAATGATCCAATTTGAAACATTTCAAAGCTGAGTAGCATTAAAGAGAATGTTGGAACAAGACCTTGTCTCGATTATATTGACAGACAAAGAACATAATGGTTTAGCCAGACCAAAATGCATATGAGACTTTTTACAGCAGAACATCTAGCAGGAAGGTGACGGGAAGACTAACAAAGAGATGGATAGATGGAAGAGCCGAAATCTGCAAAAAGATGAACAAATCCATCACCTAAACCACACAAGAAGCAGAACTATTTCAATCCCAGTAAGCCATTATTTTTCTTCTTTTTCGTTCTCCCTGACAGAAAACCACAGACACTTTGATGCTACATCCACACGTGCGATGACTCTTCTACTGATCACCAGCTTGGTTTCCATCCAAACCGTTAAAAATCTGCTCATTGAGAGGAATATACTCCAGGCGAAGTAGGGGCTAGATGCTCGCCTGCGGATCAGATGCTCATGGGTTCGCTCCCTGGCAGAGCTGAACGTATTTTTTTTTCAAAAATGACCTTGGCTCCCAGGTCGACCCAGCCTTGAGTGGGTAATAGGTGCAGTCCTGGGAAGTAAAGGCGACCGGTGTGATGCTGACCACATCACCCATCTTGTGCCATTGGACTATAAAATATAGCTCTAGCCCTTAAACCATATACGCCTGAAAGGCGTGGAAAATGGTCCTTTACTTTACTTAGTATTCAGGTTTGGCTGTGATACCTTTTTGCCAGGTACCTCAGACTCTGGCATGCTTATCTGTTCAAATGAGCTGCCTTAGATGTACTGATGAGGCAGTCCTCTAATCCAGTGATTCCCAAACTGTGCGCCACTGTGCCCCAGGGAGCCGTGACCTCTTAACGGGGGCTCCGCAAAATAATTGTAAAAGCTGCATAATTAATTTAATGAAGACACAAACAGTCATACTTTGACTTAGGTTAGGATGCCGTAAAAAAATTTTAAATTAAAAAAAGGTGCCGCGACCAAGAAAAGTTTTGGGGAACACTGCTATAATTCTTATATCATAAATGTTTGTTATTTAAAGTCAGACATGCCTGGTTGAAACAGGTACCTGGGTTGAAAAGGGTTCAAATAATAGCAATACAGAAAATTATTTCTTACTGCAATCACTGGAGTGGAATGGGCAAAAGTACTAGTCAAATGAGGAAACAATCAGTTAACAAAATCGTATCATGTCAAAATTATCCAGTACATGTATTACAAGTTGTCTAGCACTGAAAAAAAGTTAAGTCCCTATGTGGGTTCCATGACCACACTTCAGGGGAGGGGGAGGGGGAGAACATGTCTGTTTCGTAACCAGCATGTTGTAAAAGGTGGCTAATAACGGACATTTCCTTCAAAGTTAAGACTGCATCTGCCTGACAGGTGAGGAGCCAACAGTCTGCGTACAAATAAACTAGATCCGTAAAACTAATCAAAGTAAAGAAGTGGATGAACAATCTGAGCTTTCCGCCAGAGTTTACAGCCAGTCAGCGCTGAGAAGAAGAAGAAGAAGAATAAAGAGTTAGGCAGGTGAGATGTAGGGGGAGAACACATATGCAGGCGGCCCGCCAAGAGACAGGTGACAATCATAAAGTTTTAAGATATTAGTGAATTTAGTCACAGACAGTCAACATTTTGGAACTGCTATGAGAAAGAATATTTTCGGATGGACAAGAAAAAATACCCTGAACAGATAAAGAGAGATGAAGATGTCTTGAAAGAAACTGACTGCCCACATAAGAAGGAGACAAGCACCAGAATTTGAGCTTTGCATGCACAATGTACATCCGTTTTGTTTACAGATCTGGCTCATTTGTGAGAAGAGTGCTGGTTCCTTGACGACACTGAAGCAAACATTTTTAATTTGTGGACTTTTATTGCATGTTTGTAAGTGGAGTAGTGAGTCTCCCCCTCCCCTTTTCCCCCTAAATGGGGCCCTAGAATCTACACAGGGACTCAGTATGGATAACAAGTAACAAATTGTCATGGTACAGAAATGTGTCGGATGAACTGATAACATTCTGTTGTAGATCGCAAGATAATGGAGAAGCATTACCATCCATGCTAGATAGCAAGCCACCTGATGATAGTAGGTGAGCATGTGCATGTACACTGGTTAAATCAGAAAAAGAAGAAAAAATTCAGAAAAGGATGAAGCGAGTGCAAATGAACAAATGGCTGTATGCATGTGATACTGATCCACTCAATCATGATGATATCTACGCATTACCTTTGCGACAGTTCCTCCTCTACACACTCAAGCAAACTCCTGAGTGATGGGAGACGGAAAAGAAAAGAAGCAAAAAAAAAATAAATGGGTAAAGAAAAAAATCAACCACTTTTATTGAAAAGTGAGTGAGTGATAAAAACAACCCCAAAATGTGCAAACATCATACAGATGGAGCTGTGCATTAATAATTTCAACTTATAAAAAGAGTCTGTAATCATAAATCAATCACAATCCATCAGCTGCTGTCTTCACAGTGAAGGCTGGAGGCAATGTATCTCCAACACGCTCTGTCTTGTCATTCATCAGAGATGGACACCCTCTCCGACATACGCTAATCCATCTCTAGATGTTATCACAGCGTGGCCGGGTTATGGTAGTATGCACATCCACTAAAAAATTCACAGTCACTGGCTGGGATGAGAGGGTTTACTAAATTTCTTACCAGTCACCAGTAAGCAGCATAGGCAATGGTACAGAGAAAAGATGCAGAGTCCTACCGACAGATCATATTAGGAGCAATGACCTACAAAGTCCTATTAGGTGATTAATATAACTCTTCAAAAGTCTTGTTAGGTGATTAATATAACTCTTCAAAAGTCCTGTTAGGTGATTAATATAACTCTTCCAAAGTCTTGTTAGGTGATTAATATAACTCTTCAAAAGTCCTGTTAGGTGATTAATATAACTCTTCAAAAGTCCTGTTAGGTGATTAATATAACTCTTCAAAAGTCCTGTTAGGTGATTAATATAAGTCTTCAAAAGTCCTGTTAGGTGATTAATATAACTCTTCAAAAGTCCTGTTAGGTGATTAATGTAACTCTTCAAAAGTCCTGTTAAGTGATTAATATAGTTTTGCAAAGGATCTTCAATACAGGCATAGATCTGCAACTGCTCTGCTACATAGTGAGTATAATTCTGTAACATCTTTCTAAGATTAATAACAGCAGACAAGCAACAGGCAATGTTTTTTTAGTACATTCATAATAACAAATAAAATATAGTGTTGTTAAACACTATTTGTCCCAGAGAAAAATTAGGCCAACCCATCTTACTGTTGGCATCTTTCCATCCTTCCATACGACAGTATTATACTATGCATCAGGGAGGCATAGAAATTACAGTTCGGTTCTCATCCCTATATGGGATGCAATTTTTGTCATTTGAAAGTCCCACACCCTGGCTGTAGTCAGCGGCCCTAATATAACTTAACGGTTGAACAAGATTAATCTTTTAATTTAACTTTTTTTTTAACTTTTGATGTATGATCACCTGGTCATCACCTCTATTCCTGCTTCCATTCTCCTTACAATGATAAGATGCAGAGAGTCAGTGTTTTCCAGATATATGAGAAGGAATGGACTAGAGAACTTGTAATGACTCCACTTGGGGAAGAGGGAGGGGATAGACTCAGTGCCCTCACAAGCATGTCATACATAGTGACTAATTAGCGATGTTTTCTTCACTCAGACTGCACCTGCCTGAGGGGCAAGGAACCAACAGTCTGCATACAAACAAGCCAGATCTGTAAAATGGACATGCAGCCAAAACTCAAGCTCTGGAAGAAGACTAAGTGCACACATTAGTGGACGAACAACCAGAACTTTCTACAGGGGTTTACGCCCTAAAAAAAAGCACACACACATACACACAAAAGATTATTGTAGCAAAGAACAGAACTAAACTTGTGCCCATTTTAAAACCAAAGGCTGTACTTGATTAGCATTTCAAGCATTAAAAAAAACAATTAATTCAGAAGCACAATGAGTACTCTGCCGGCCAAAATAAACATAATGAAAATAATGTGTGCACAAAAACTGCCTGCATAAATAAAGGGTATAAGAAGTGTTTAAAATATGTTGCAAGCCTAAAACAAAATTCTCTATACTGCTACTTACTTATGCATCAGACTGTCTTCTAACCAAGGTTTCTTGGCTGCATTATCAGTATTATCCTGGAGATGAAAAAATATGAAAATCAGAGTTTAGCAGTTGGTGGCATCTTTCTGTCTTTCCATACAACAGTATTATATTGTACTAAGGGGAGCATGGAAATGAAGTTCCTTCTCTCTGTAGCACAAAACCTGAGCAGTATTGTGGACACCATGTGTTGCCTACACATCACGATTCCTCTGTCTGCCTTGTTTACTCCAAAGGAAAGGTAAGACTAATATGTTTACAACAAATTAGTTTGCAGAAGCTGCCAGATCAGAAGAACAGTGCTTTGTCTGTCTGAGATTTCCTCCTAGACCAGCTGCCAACCAGGGCTAAGGGCCTGGTCTGCCCTGCTATAAAAAGAGATTTTTATGCTGCATTTCGTCTTCCTCAGATAAGGCTAGTGTCCTCACCACAGCGCTAATCAGAAAGGCTAGTAATAACAGCTGAATTTACAAGTGAATAGGAGACATGACCGGGGTTCTCCATAGCGAAGAGGGCAAGTCGTTTGCTTTGGACATGACAGGAGTTCTCCATAGCGAAGAGGGCAAGTTGTTTGCTTTGGACATGATAGGGTTCTCCATAGCAAACAGGGCAAGTCATTTGCTTTAGGTTTGTTTTATGGATAATTCCTGTTCAGGACTGCAGTTTTTATAGAAATACCTGGGGATAAGTATGACCACCAAGAAACAGATAATAAAAAGCATATTCATTCTAACACTGTGCTACCAGTGCCAATCTAGAGCATCATCAAAGGCTAACTTATGTAAAATTAACATGTGTGAAATAAAATGCCGGAGTAAGCCCTCCAACTTAACCATCTTAAACAAAGTGAGAAATAATACTATCACCACAGACTGTGGAAACAACATCATGTACTAATTTTTTTGAAAAACAGAAGATCAAATGTGTTGGTCATCTTGCTAGAATGCAGCCAGAAGTCATCTTGCTAGAATGCAGCCAGAAGTCATCTTGCTAGAATGCAGCCATAAGTCATCTTGCTAGAATGCAGCCAGAAGTCATCTTGCTAGAATGCAGCCAGAAGTTATCTTGCTAGAATGCAGCCAGAGGTTATCTTGCTAGAATGCAGCCAGAAGTTATCTTGCTAGAATGCAGCCAGAAGTCATCTTGCAAGAATGCAGCCAGAAGTCATCTTGCAAGAATGCAGCCAGAAGTTATCTTGCTAGAATGCAGCCAGAAGTCATCTTGCTAGAATGCAGCCAGAAGTTATCTTGCTAGAATGCAGCCAGAAGTCATCTTGCTAGAATGCAGCCAGAACAACTACCAACACAGATGCTATACGTAAAAAAGATTTAATTTAAAAGCGAGAGGTTGCCCCAGGAGAATATAGACTGATGACATTAAAGACCTGCTACATCATTACAGAATGACAGCAACCATTGCTACCCATCAAGCAATAAATCGCAAACTGTTCCTCCTCACGACCTTAACAGCAAAAGTGGAAACTGATAACGATGATGACTTTGAAGAATGTTACTGGCACTAAGGCGTTATTGCGGCACTGAAGGCAGGTGGTTAGCTGTTCTGCAGATAAAGAGAGGGCCACATGGGATGGCCTGGTGCAATAAAGATAAGCCTCTCGACTTTAACTTTTAGCTTACTATACTAATTAATAAAACAAGTGACATTCATTCTAGTAACAACAACAAAAAAGTAAGAGCCAAAATTCTATTGCATCAATTTATCCTGCAAATATAAACCATAATGTAAATTTTTTCTTAACACAAAAGCCAAACAGTGTCCATTTATTTGACATTTAAAAAAAAACCTATACAATGTAAGTTTATTTTATATAAAATATTAGTGTGAATTTACTCTTAAAAGCTATACAGGGTAAATTTATTCTTTAAAAAACTATAGTGTAAGTTTATTCTACATAAAAACTAAAGTGTAAATTTATTCTACATAATAACTACAAGTCTAACAAGGAGGTGAAATGAGATGTTGCTTTCTCAACCATCCATCCTATTTCCCAGATTTGTCTCCTTGTGATTACTTTCTATTCCCAAAATTAAAGATACCCTTGAAAGGACGCTTTTTTGACGATATTGATGACATCCAACGGGCTGCAGCGTCGACTTTAAGGGCCATAACAATAGAAGAACAGAGGTCGTTCCAGTTTTTTTTTTAGATCGTACCGCTAGCTGTATCAAAGCACAAGGGGCTTACTTTGATCAAAATACAGGTTATATTTTCAACTGTTGATTATTTGAATTGTTATGGAATTAGTATTATTACTTAATTGTCAGACCTTGATTACAGTGCAAATACTGATTATCTTGATTAGCCAGATCATAGAAAAAAATGCTATTTTGAACCCCAAAAAATGCAAAAATGGTAAGCTTATAAATTCGATCTTACCTCTTCTGCCAATTTCTTATCAGCTACTGCAAGAAATTAAAGAAAGGAAATCAAAAGTTAGTCAGAGAACTGTATGATGCCAACAGTATGTTAGTTTAATTCAGAATTTAAGAGAGTATATAGAAGAAGGTGATCCTGATTAAATTACATGAATACTTAAAGACTTCAAAGCCAGTTGTTGAGGTCAGTAATGGGAAGTCAGCGGTTTTAATTAATCTTGCCTCAACTTTGAAACAAAGTTATCAAAAGAATCACAGAGAGACAATAGCAGAAAGAGGCAGAGTTAACAGCAAAGAGAAATAAAGACAGAGAGAGAATGGCAACAAGTGGGTGATGGTGATACAGCAAGATACAGGTAAGGATAGAAACAAGAAAAGACACAGGACTGGGAATAAAGACACTAAGAGCACCCCTAAAAGAAAGAGAAGAAAGTCAGACAAAAGCTCAGTTTAAATAAACATAGAACTACTAGAAGTGAATACAAATGATAAGTCTCTTCAACTGATCCTAAGAAACACTTACTGTTAACACAAATTTTAGTTTACTGTGCTCTACCTTCTCTTTTTCTTTTCTTTCTTCTTCTTCTTCGTGTTCACAGGCAGTAAACTCTGGTGGAAAGTTCTGGCTGTTCATTCACTTCTGGACTCAGGTCTATTTCTAGAACTTGAGTTTTGCATGCATATCTGATTTACAGATCCGCTTATAGGTATGCATGCTGTTGGCTACTGATTAGTAAACTTCTACAACATGCTTATTACAGCAGCAATGGGTCTATCCCCCCCCCCCCAACCCTTACCCCTAAGGAAACACTAAAACCCACACGGAAACTTCCCTTTCCTCTACCTAATTCCAAGAAATAATTAAAAGTAGCACCACTGAAAGTCTATCCAACATTACTTGATCCTGAGAAATACTGAAATTAACACCATGAAGAAAGAAAAATAGAAACGTCATTATAAAAATCATCTAGTTCGATTAAATAATCATAGAACAAGCAAGTACCTTTAAGTTCGATGCTGTCAGTAGCTGCATTCTGGCGTGATTGCTTGTTGGATGGTATTCTCCTTGGCACATCTTGCAGAAGCTGAGAACGAACAAGTGTTCGGAACTAATTACAACAAGGCAATAGCGAATTCAACATAACATTAGCACTGAGAATATATAATACTCCTCATAAAGCACCTTCAATCCCAATGTAAAAAGGAAATTTTTCATTATTTAAAGCCCCATCTCTGCTGTAGTTTGAGGCCCTAATATAACCTAACTGTTGAACTGAGACTTGTGCCCAGATGATCCTCATCCGAATGGTGGCACTTTGTGTCACCGGGTGTTTGTTGCTCATTGTATGGTCCTGGTGGGATTGAACAACATACACACTCCTCATCTTTACATGTTCACTGGTTTTTAACTCTGGCAGAAAATTATGGTTGTGGAAACAATGATGCTGAGCCAAAATTTAGTGAAGAAGGCAATCACAGTGCACATCTCAAGCACATGTTTCCATAGGATAGCTGACAAGAATCTACAACGTCAGATCAGTGAAGGAGCCAATAAATATTGGTGGAGCAGGTGTCAACACTAAACACCCCGATGACACTACTGTGTTTCTGGCAGCCCCCCCCCCCCCCCCCCCCCCCCCCCCCCACCTGATGAATTTGCCCCAACTACAAGGCAGAGTTCTCAGCCTTTTTGATGCCAGCACAGCACATGAACAAGCTGCACATCCTTACAGAAAAGATATTTTTTCACATATTCCTTACGGGAAAGATGTTTTTTTTTCACTATCAGCCATACAGGCTCTATAGACCAAAATTACTGACAGCACACTATAGAGTCTAACAAAGGACTAGTTGAGTTGTCAAAACAGGCAGCAACTGACCTCCAGTGGTTTCCATATCACTGCGGCATAAAAGACAATGACAGCCCTGACACTTTAACTCTTTGAGTCCCATGGAATGCATCATGCGTTCATAGGTTCCTACATAGAAGCCCAATGAACGCATGATGCGCCGATTTTGTTACTTTCTTGACTACCCCCTGGGCCTGTGATGCTGAACCCCCTGGGACTCAGAGAGTTAATGACTCAATTCTAAAGTCAAATATAATCCTTTTCACCAAGGGTATGGGATGGTGATTAGTAAAGCTCCGGACAGAACTGGTTAAATGCTGAATTAAGAATCGACATCACAGCACTCGGGACACTCCCATTAGCACCCTATCCCCATCTTCAGCTGCTAGCAAAGAGTTCCAATTCCATTTTTACCAGTAATTGTCTAACTAGACATCCGCCTCCCTTTTTCCTTCAGCGCTGAGCATCGACCAGATCCCCTGGTAACTCCCCACAGTGACAGAACTGGTTTGTGGGGGAAAAGCATCCAGATCAGGAACCAACATTTTCACCAAGCTCCTACCACCAAACTCACATAACTACAGAAACAACATTATAACCTAGTAAAAAACTAAACTGTTCAGTCAAAGGTTGGCTGACTTACATGCCACACTTGATGCTTACAAGATTAATCTCCATCCAGCATTATCAGGTGGCCCTTCAGTCGTCATAGCTGCATGGATCAGCCACCAGCAGCAACCCAAGTGTCTAACATATCTGGAAGATTTACTAACACTCGTACTGTGAACATAGGAATCTTCTTGTAGGAAGTTGCCTATATTATTCTGCAGGATCGGAGGGGGGGCATTTGGAGGCGACAGGTTCGATTCCCGACACTATAACTACAGCTTTCGATTTGTATGTTGTCTAGTGTATCCTTCTTTCTTTCGACTTCTTTCTATGAGTGCTAATCAATGCATTTTCTGTTTGTTTACTATATATATAATATGTCAGAGATGCAGAACTGCATGGAAATACTTACACCGTCCTCGTCTTCATTGAGGTCGAAAGTCTGTGTGGGGTTTTTGGACTTTTCCAACAATTCCTTGGTCAATCTTCTCGTTAAGTCTCCTTGAAAGAAAGGATGCTAAGAAAAAAACCAAACAATTATTGTTTAAAATACTTAAAAGTCTCATGAACATAATTTCTAAAAAAGACAGGAACTCTTCGCAAAGTGACATTAAATATTAATAATACAGATACAGCATTTATGTGGCAAATTATTATCATCATCAAGTGCCTTGCCAGCTGGCAGAGGCATTCAAGCATCTCGACAGATCTCGGTCTTTGGTGTTCTGGATAAATTTCACTAAGGATATTCTTCCATGCCACTGTCTTGAGCCATTCACCATCATTTCTCTGCCTCTTCTACCAGTGATCTTTCCAGTCATCGCGATATTTTCAAGTGCTCCTTCTCTCATCACATGATCAAAAAACTTTGTCGCAGATGCTTTGCAGAATATAACTATTTCTGGTCCAGAAAAGATCTTGATCTTTAGCAAGTGCCTCCTCCTTCTTCTTCTTCATCCTCCTCCTCCTTCTTTTTGCTCCTCGTCCTCCTTCTTCTTCTGCTTTACATCTCCCAATAGAGAATGGACATTTAATCAACTCAAATGATTTATATGACTTAGAAACTGGTAAGGTAGCGTCCGTGGCTTAGGCGTTGCGAGTCCGACACATACGTACCACGATCGAAACCCACTGCTTGAGTTTTGCATATACATCTATTTTACAGACCTGGCTTATTTATGTGCAGACTACTGGTTCTTCAACTCTCAGGCAGATGCTCTCCAACTTCGAATGAAACACCCCTAATTAGTCATTTTTTAACGACATGCTTGTTGGTGGAGGCAGCAGTGGGTCAATTCCCCCCCTCCTTCCAAATGGATTCACATGTGGACATTTGTACAAATGACGACGCCAGGGCTCTCATGCGAGAGACACGGGTTCGACCCCGGATAAGATGATAAGAGTTTTTCTATCAGGGACAAAATTAAACATCCTAACCTGTACAGTCTGTGGTGACAGCCCTAGTTATGCGGCCCTAAATCCACACGCTCACGACCCCCGTCTACACCAGACTAAAAGGTGGTAAAACAGACATAAGTAATAGATTTGACAGATAAAGTACTGAAAAGTCCATTATTCTGATCCCGATACGAATTATTATAAAAATTATGATGTCACCTGTATGATCTAGAGATTATACAGAATGTTTTGACAAGCTTTCAGTCGCTTTTAAGAGAGCGGTAAAAGTTAAGAACCTCATCTAAGGTTTTTTTTCAAGTGCTTTCATCACAATGAAGGTTAGCTGCAATGTTTCCAGTGCTAGCTATGGGAATATCATGCAGTGATGCTCTAATCTCTTCCACTGTGTGACTCTCGTACTACTGTTCTGAAATTCTGAAAGCTACCCACACAGCAGGAATCAAAGCCTGGTAAATGCACTGTGAAACGATTTCACTAACTATTACGAAACAGAACCGCACTAGCTGATCTAATGTCAATTTAACTTCTTAAAGTCCATGCCATACCGCACTGGTAGTCCGGCCTATCCACAACCTTCTGTCTCATGTACTTTCAATCAGCTCTGACACAGATGATCCTCCATGCCATGATGTCAAACTGTCCAGCATCTTTTCTCTCGGTCTCCCTCTTCCTCTCCTCCAACTTTCTTACAGTCACAAGTACTCCATTTTCTCCTTCTCATCACATGACCAAAGAATGTAGATTGTGTCTTTCTGATGTGAGCAACCAGTTCTCTTTGTGAGTCAGTTCCTTTCAAGACATTATTATTACTCTTTCTATCTGTTCAGGGTATCCTAATAATTATTGTTATTATAACAGGACAGTTAAATGTGTTTGCTGATTTAAGAATCAATATCATGCATAGCACAAAGGGCATACACACTGGGCATACCCTTAGTTGCTGTGTCTTACATAGCAAACGTCTTGAGGTGTAGATGCTAACTGTTGCCGTAGCACACTAATTATACACAAGTCATTCTCCTTCTCTCATGCGTCCCTTCTTGCCAGATCCACACCTAGTTCCTCTTACATACATTCTTACATATGTTATACCTCATGACTTCTATCAGACTTTCTTTCAAAAATGATTTCCAGAATGTCTTCTTTATCGCTTTCATAGCCAGAAAATCTTCCCTTTCATTCCCTCGTGCTCCTGCCCCCTCTGTTTATTTATAAGAATGAGGTATACACACCAGAACCTACCAATCAAATACCTTTCTTAAATGTTTGTGTATTCTAGACAAAGCATTAAGGTCTACTGTGTTCGTAAATTGTTGCTGTGATTGTTATTCGACATTTGCTTCGTTAATATAAATTTCTGTAACCTATGGTGCCATTTCAATGGGTTGAAATGAATTCTGTCCGTATTCCATAGTTGTGGATTTCAAGCTGTACGATAAACATGGCCAATAAGACACATTTTTTGGGGGGTGCCTTGTTGACCATGTATCTTAGTGCACTTGTATTCATCGTGATGCGCAGACGCCGTCTGGAGGTGACAGGTTCAATTCCCGGCACGGTAACTATAGCTTTCGATTTTTATGTTGTCTAGTGTGTTCTTCTATCTTTCTACTTCTTTCTATGAGTGCCGCTCACAATACTTTCTGTTACTTGATTAATGCATAACACAAACAGTGTATCCATCTGAGCTTCTGTAATGTCCACGTGTTGATGCTTGGTATCCACTCATGCAAATTAGTTACAAATCCACTCATGATACGATCCTTGCTACTCAAAAGAGTTGTACAGAAAAGTATAGATAAGATATGTTTCATCCAGAAATCAGAAAACTTTAAACAGAAAGTAGTAATGAGACAGCCAGAGACAGAAAAAAAAGTTACAAAGAAACAATAATACACAAGAGCTCAACAACGTCTTCTAACTAACCTCCAGCATTCTCTCTGCTGTTGGCCTTTTCCTAGGATTTTTGGTTAAGGCCATTTTTAGAAAATGCTGAAATACAATAGACCTGTGGAAAAGAAGAAATATTCAAATCACTGGTATATTTAATACCATATATCTAAACATAAAACAGAAAAACACTTGATATTTTAATAAATATTTAAAAGAATGGTATATTTAGTTGTTGGCACCTTTCTGTCTTCACCAACATCTTTTGAGGGGGTGGGGTGGGGGTGGGGGTGGGGATCGCCAGGTATAACCAGCATCCCCGAAGGGAGAGCTTTAGGTTATAACTGTGAATATTTGTTTTCCATATAAAATGGTGAGCACTGCTCGTCACCAAGAAGCCCCGAAAAGGACTCTTGCAGTGTTGAAACGATCAAAGCAGACAGACCCAAATATTGTCCCAACCGGCAACAAAGTTGTCTACTGGCCAGCCAATGTGTGACCCAGTCGCCAATGTTCTTCTGACGCATGGGACTCACAGCCTATGGCAATCCAATTAAGGCTAGGGATGAAGTTCCTCCTCTCCATAGCACAAAGCCTGGGCAGTATTGTAGATGTAGAACTTGATCCTTCACATTTGTCTGTATGTCTTGTTTACTCCACAGGAAAGGTAACATAACCGTTGACCCGTTTGGGGTGTGGCGGTGCTTTGATGGAAGCAATAAAATTCAAAAACTTTTGTCTTCCACTTGTTGAACAAGTTCATAACTCAGTCCTGTCAATTTCTAGTCATTCTAGTTTCTTCTTTGCCCTCCTCTTTTTCGACTACCCCCTGAATGTTCCTTAAAGTACAGTCTTTGCAATCGAATCTTACCACGTGCCCGAACCAGGCTAGCTTGCGATGTTTCAACCACTGCCAAGAGAAGCTACTGACATCCTGTTAATTATATTTTGTTTTTGGCAAATGTGTTAGTTTTATGCTCTAAATAACTCATCTATAAAATGTGCCTATAGCCTTTACATTTAAATGCCTGAATCCTTCTTTCCATTTCCACACTGAGTCCAAATCTCACATCTGTATCAGAAAATAGACAATACCATTCATTTGTATATATTGACCCTTACCGCGATGTTGATTTTACACACGGTATTTAGCTGAGACATCATGGCTGTTGTTATATCAAGGTAACAACAATACATTTGACAGGAAGCATGCTGCAGAAGCTGCCAGATAGAAGAGCAGTGCCCTATTTGTCCACCTGTCGGAGCTTCTTCCCTCCTAGACCAGCCGCCACTTTACGCTTTATTAGTGACAATCTAGGGATGTTCTTGTCGTTTTTCTTTGATTCTAAATTTTCAAAATTGAAGTAAAAGCTCTTTTTGTGACCTGGCACATGATGCATTTGATGCTAGATCCATATTTGTATGCACCATCTGAGATTGTGGGGCATGTCAGCATATATCAGTCACCTTCCCTTTCTAAAACATTTCCTGGTACCTATTAAGTACCATATATTTAAACATCACTCAGAACAAGTCTGCTGATATATTTAATATCGTTTGCTAATTGTCCATGTTTCATATGCATAAAATAACACAGGTTCTTCATAGCACTTCAATACTCTTTTTCTCACTGCAACTGATATCTTCTTTTGCTGAGAATCTTTTGCATCTTGCTAAAAGGCCCCTTCTGCCATGGCAATTCTTGTTCTAATTTCGGCAAGGCTTCCATAGTCTGTTCACTGATAAAGCCTAAAGTTTGTTTAAAGTCAAGAAGAGCAACTTCATTGTGTTCTATTTTATCTCATATGACTGTAACTCTGAACAGCAACTGCCTGCTTGAAAGACAGCAAAGACCACCCAAAGATCTGCAAAGCATCTGCACTCACAAACCAAAAGATGGAGTATAATATCAAGCTAATAAAATAACCTTCAGGGTACAGGGCGAGTAACCACTTTGCCTCCGAGACCCTGGGTCTTTCTTTTTCTTTGTGTTTACCAGCTGTAAACTCTGGCAGAAAGTCCCGGTTGTTTGTCCACTTCTGGACGAGTCTTCTCCCAGAATTTGAGTTTACACGCACATCAGTTTTACAGATCTGATTTATTTGTATGCATACTGTTAGTTCTTGCATATCAGGCAGAGGCACTCTGGACTTGGAAGAAAAAACACCTCTAATTAATCAAATTTTATGACATGCTTATTAGAGAGGCTTCTGTGCTATTCCTTTTTTTTTTTCCCAAAACCCAGCCTAGGACAATTATAATAAAACAATGGATGGAGTCAAAAATCAAACTAATAACAATTTCGCCAAGAGGAGCCCAGTCACCTATAAAACAGCTGATAAACAATGTAATTACAGGAAGCACTGACCATTTGTTTTTATCTTTTAAAGTTGGAGGCTTAAAACCACTTTTGGACATCAGGAACAATGCTCTGGAAAAAAAAAAATTTATATCAATGAGAACATAACTACTGAAAAAAAAATAAGCTGTCATAATTGTCATTACAGACATAACATTTTAACCCTGCCACCCCCAGAAGTAGCAAAATTGACACTTCCAGCTGAGGCCAATTCCCCATAAATGTCATTTTTCTGACTTGTAAAAGAGATGAAGCCTTATTACAGGTTTTCGAAAACAGAGTCTTACAACGAATCTTTGGACCCATCAAAGATGCAAACAGCAGGGAATGGAGAGTGAGAAGCAACAACGAAATTCCTAATCTGTTTAAATCACTTTTGATCACTGGCATCATGAGAGCTAATAGACTGAAATGGTTGGGGCATATGGAAAGAATGTCAGATGACAGAAAAGTAAAAACTGTAAACATAAGGGAGATGATTGGTCGTAGACCACGAGGCAGACCAAGAAGGCGATGAAGAGATGATGTCCAGGCAGACCTGCAAACACTTGGTGTCAAAAACTGGAAAGAGAAGGCCAATGGAGGCGGGTGACATCTGCAGCAATGAACCTCAAGGGCTCGGAATGCTGAAGAAGAAGTCAAGAGCAGTATTTTTATAAGATGCATAGTTAATGCTAATGGCTGAGTTCACACCTGTGCAAAGGTTTAGAAGGTTGGGATATGAATACAGTTACTACAAATTACATTAAGGTGGTTTTCTTGCAAACTAAATGGCTTTTTTAAAACCAAGTTGACATATAAATTTTCTGTAGCCCCAGTGATAGAGGTCACCCGATAAATATTTGTTTTTAGACTCCAAGAAAAATAATCCATGTAATGCTTCACTCTGTGCTGTCACTCTATGGACCACTAAATGAATTAACAACAACAGTGACATTTATACAAGAGACAAAATTGCTGATATAGACAACTTATTTCAGGCAAACGAAAGAAGAAAAAGAACTCTGTGCCCGACTCGCTAGCGCAGTTGGTGAAAACCTGACTGAGCGGGGACCAGGTGATGAACTCATTGTGGTCCGGGTTCACGCACGGAATAAAGCCCAAGGGGTTGCGATATATCCATAGTAACGAGCCAGAGGGTTAACAACTCATGGTTTCTGAATACTTAAACAAAAAATGCTCCACTCTGTTCATATCGACTGATTACTTCCTTTCTATATCATCATATATTCCAACAACAAACTTTTAAAATAAAAATAAATTTTTTTGTTTTTAAAATTTATTAGTGGCCTGTGTAAAATTGCATTTGTTTGTAAAAAGGATACTTGGGAAACACACAGTCATGGTCTTTTTAAATTTTTTTTTTTATTTTAGCGTTCCCGGAGCTACAGGGTTAATGACATCATAGGGGCATTTTTTTTCCCTGAGTTTCCTGTACATATCCTTTCACCAAAGAAGTCTTTTTCTTCTTCACGTTTGCCAAGGTAAACTCCGGTGGGAAGTTCTGGTTGTTAGCCCACTTCTGGACAGCAGTCCTGCTCCAGATCCTGAGTGTTACGTGTGCATCTGTTTGACAGATCTGACTAATTTGTATGGACTGTTGGATGCTTGTCTTTCAGGCAGATGCACTCCGATTTAGAAGCTCCCAATTAATCGACTTTGACGAGATGCTTTTGGGCAGGCAGTAGGTCTGTTCTTGTTTTCTTTACAATAGGGCCCCGGAAGCTACACTGGGAACTAAAGATGTAACATTTATGATGTTTCCATTAATACCATTCACAGCATATATTTCACAATATTAGTAATTATGTGGTTTAGGCATTGGGAACGTGCCTCGTAATGCCGGGTTCGATCCCAGCTGCGGGCTTTGTGATGGTTTCAACAGTGGTATCGAGGAGCTGACTGCCCAGAAAGCAATGGCAAACTACTGGACATAAACTTGCTAGAAAAACCACAACAGCCAAAAAATGTTGGGGTTGGTTCTGCAACGTGCTGTAAATGATAGGCAACTAACTTTTCTAGTAATTATTTATGAAATATTACAAAGAAGGTTCTTCAATTTATATCATCTCATCATAAAAGTAAATATTTATGAGATCCCATCAAAAAGATTTCAAAAAAATTAATCATGTGATCCCTTCAGATATATCCTTTCATCACAAAATTTTACCATCAGATTCCTTTATATGTTTTGCAAAGGACCGACTACATCACATTTATGTAGAATCACATAAAACTGCTTAACAGTAACATCCATTTCTGTCTATGAAGTATGAGTATACAGCACACCGGTGTCATAAGGTGCCTTGTGACAATGTTTCCTGCTTTATTTAATGGATAACAGTAACCTAAGCCTTTAAGATTTTTTGTTAATAATGTACCAGTATTGTGATATACAGCAGTGATGACTCAGAAGATTTAGTCAAAAGGTAAGTCCTGGACTTCTTTTACCATCAAAACAGGAGAGCTCGTTTTTCAGTGACTTATGGGAGATCTCTAGATCTCTCGTTACTTCAGCGGGAAGATGTATATGCAGAATGTCCTCACTATAGTACGCCAGCTGGCGGTCAGCTAAGTCAAAAGTAATCTGTCTGAAGCAATTATAGAGGATCATAAGGAATCCCTGCCAGGGGTAAGTGAAGTACAACCAGCTAACTTAATCTACTATCACTGTAGCTATTCTTCTACCAATTATGTAATTCTTCTGCTGGTGAATTCTTTCGGAAAATGGTGCAGCTAGCTATCATTGCTTACTCCTGTCTGTCGTTCCGATCACTAACACCATGCTCATGTATGTAAACATATTGTGTAATTGCTCATTTGATTCAATTTTGTTTATTCATGAGACACATTTTAGTATTGGAATTTTTTTTGTACAAAGTGAAATCTCACATTGTGTAGTGTAATTCTTACAGTGACTGTACAAAGTGAAATCTCTCACGGTGTAGTGTAATTCTTACACTGACTGTACAAAGTGAAATCTCACACAGTGTAGTGTATTGCTTACACTGACTGTACAATGTGAAATTTCACACGGTGTAGAGTAATTCTTACACTGACTGTACAAAGTGAAATCTCACACGGTGTAGTGTAATTCTTACAATGACTGTACAAAGTGAAATTTCACACGGTGTAGAGTAATTCTCACACTGACTGTACAAAGTGAAATCTCACACGGTGTAGTGTAATTCTTACAGTGACTGTTTAAAGTGAAATCTCACACAAACACATTTCTCGGCATGGAGACAGAAATTATATTACAACCATTATGGAATGGAACAAATGTTAGTTCACTATAACCATATTTACTGGAAGGTTTCAGAGCAACTAACTGATGTAAAACCTAGAATCATAATTGTGAGTTTGAAATCAGATGAACTTATATGATCACTGAGATCCTAAATGAGTTTGACTGCACTGTAACTTAGTGTGTATACTTGACTGAAATGTAGTATGGTTAACCCTGAGGAGAAGAGGGAAAGGTGGATTAGGACACATTGATTTGAACAATTGTAGTTGCATCCAATAATTCCCACCAGAGGATTATGGTTTATATCCTTTAGCACCCCACAGTCGAGTATATTGGACTTCAGCTGCCCACCTCGTAGCGTCCCACAGTCGAGTATACTCAACATCTATATATGGTTGGGGAATACGAAGCCTAAACGGAGCTACGCGTGTGACGTAACTTGAAAACTATAATTAACTATTCTAGAGTGGTTTCACTTCCTCTTTGTCTGTTTTGATTGCTAGGAGGCCGAGAGTAGGTTTGTGTGATCAATTTTTCTGAGCCAGTTCGATTTTTATTGTGGGGTGCTAAAGGATATATCAGTATGTGTACCCCATATAACTGAGTTATATTTAAACTTTACACCTCTTATCCCAGTGCTCACTATTTCTAATATGTATTTATATATTTACCAACACAAGTTTTACCTGGAGTGATTGAGTGAGTGACTATTTCAGGATACAACTAGTGTGTGAGTTTTGCCCAAGTGTATGTTATGTTAACTACACGAGATTATATAGAATGGGAAATGGCTGCTCTTTCATATTCTCAACAGTGATGAACACGTATGAGAGTTATATGACTGCTATGATAATACAATACCAGGGTATATTGAATGACATCCATTCTGTCATCTTAGCTTATAAGGTATGAGTGTAAACCAGGTATAAACTAAACCTCAGTACTGATATTCAGTGTAAAGTAAACCTATGTGGTTGAGATTGGAATGTCTGGTGATATATGATTCTTCTTCTTCTTCTTCACTTCCTCTTTTACCGCTGTGGGTGTCGAGGGAGATATAAGGTTCTGTTTCTAGCTCTTCTGGCTGCCTCGACCATAGGCACATCGTGCTGTTGTAGAGTTTCTCTGATGTTATCCTTCCATCTTGTTCTTGGTCTACCCCGTGCTCTACCTCCTTCTTCTCTTTCCATGTATGCTTTGTATGGTATGGTGTCACAAGGCATTCTCTCTAAGTGGGCAAACCATTTCACTTGCTGTCTTTGTATGTAATCCAGAATTGGTTCTGTGCCGACTTGTTCTCTTATGATCTCATTCCTGATCTTATCTCTTATGGTCACTCCTACAGCCCTTCTCAGAAATCTCATTTCCGTGGTTACTAATTGTCTTTTATGGTTTGTGGTGATATATGATTGTGCGTGTGAAACAAGTAACCCCTTATAAGCAGTAAAGTGATGCTACCCATTCACATAACATAATAATTCACCATTCATTGTGACTGAGATTTATATCAGGGTGAAAGGCCATGGTCATTGTATATCCATGAGACATGGCTGAGAAGTTTCTCCAATCAAGCAAGGAAATGCCCCGGTGAGTCCAATTCTTTATGTATGATGGAATTTGAGTCTACATTACCATCACTGCTACCCCCTGTTATGCATGTGTGTATGCAGATGAAAACTTTATGAGGACTAGCCTCAGTAAGGCATTGTGAAGAGACACATATGAGATAGCCATCTATATATTGTGTTCAATTTCTTCAGCTGCGGGTGGATGTCTTGACTGCTGAGCCTGATCTTGAAGAGCCAACATTCCGCGCGTGTGGATCAGTGGCAGCTGATCAAGCAGCCGGAAGAAGCCAAAACATCAGATGGGTGGCAATTTCAGCCATTCAGAAAGAAAATCCAGTTTAGATTTTTTCGGCCCCATGATTATTTCATTTTATTGCAATAGTTTCCTTCAACCGGTAAATACACTTTGTGTGTTGTAGAAATGATTTTTGTATGTGTCAGTGAACACAGCCAGTAGTTTAAGGATATCTAAACTTTTACCCCAGGAGATCTATTGTGACCAGTCACCAAACTCTTCTCCTTAACCAGTAAGGCTGGGAGATATAATATTTTAGGGGGAGATTCACAGGCTGTGGTCTTCTGGGTATATAGTTTGTCTGGGAGGTCTGTCTTTTTAAGCCTCTTTAGCTTTTCATTGTGAAGTGGCCCTCTCAGCAGCAGCATGTTCTGTGTCCATCAGTGTGTGCACAGGGACCATTATATTCTTTGACTCTGTAGATGTGGCATAGTAGTTTCACTTTCACCTGTGAACCTGACCTGTGACAACCGGGAACTCACAAAGAAAAAGCAAGAAACAGGACAGCTCATACCTCATTGGATGCAGATCAAACATGGGCGGCTGCAGCTCTGCAAACTCTATAGCTGTGATTCCAACTGCCCAAATATCACACTGTTGATTATAGCCTCCTTTTCTTTCCACAGCTGCAACCTCTGGAGCCATCCTGAATAGTTCACAGCGACATTAGTTTTACCTGAACTATACTTCTACTTCTTCTTCTTCTGCCTTTCTAACCCTCAATTAAGCATAGGCCCTCAACAAACTTACACCAAGTCATTCTATCCTTGGCTTTCGCATTCAGCTCTCCCCAAAAACCATACTGCTAATCTTCAAATATTTCGGAAGCTATAATCAACAACAACAACAAACAATTTAGGGAAACAGATTTTCGAAACATATATACAGAAGGCAATGATTAGAAGAAACAGTGAGAATTACTAAAATAATTACTTCTTCTCTGCGTTCACCGGTTGTAAGCTCTGGCGGAAAGTTCTGGTTCTTCGTCCACCTCTGGACTTTATTCTGGTTCCAGAACCTCAGTGTTGTGTGCACAAGTTTTACAGATCTGACTAATGTGGGTGCAGACTGCTGGTTCCTTGCCTCTCAGGCAGATGCACGACTTCAAAGGAAGCCACCCAGTTGGTCTGCTCTTATGACATGCTTGTTGGGAAGGCAGTGGGTCTGTTCTCGTTTTCCTCCACAATGGAGCCCCGAAACCCAGTGGGAAAATATTTACTAATAATTAATATTCTTCAACTGGCTGTAAGCAGAATAGAAAACATAATAAGACTGAATACTAATCTGGAATTTAGGGAGAAAACTGACATTGCAATAAATTACAGGTGAGAAGAATATGCTGACAGTGGAAAGGACACACATTGAGAGGATAATAGTATTACTATAATGCTTATTCCACCTGAACCACCAGGTAAAAACAGATGGAGAGATTTTATTTACATTGAAAAGGATTAGCATGAACAGAGTGATAAATGTACATCCACCTACCAATATGGTGTTCCAATGAAAGACTTGCGTTTGCACATTGTGGCTGTAATTTGTGCTGAAACTCCAAAGTCAGCTGAAATATTCACAGTGTATTGTTTAAACATTTGACATCTTTATATGTAGATATACAGTTAAAAGTCAGTTAAAGTCTAAAGGGTCGATTTAACGGCACTTGGTTTTATCAGATATGGCTCGATCTCCGTCCACAGAGCAGCCAGCCACCTGCCAAGAGTGTTACACCAAGCACGAACTTCACAGCTTCAGTGATGCTCCCCAGGGATCTTCATAAATATTGTACCCATGAACAGAAAGTGTGTACAAATCGAACCCACAGCCTTCAAAGTGTGCGGCAAACGGCCTGATCACTTCACCACGGAGACCCACAGTGTAAATATACATTAATAATAAAGTAACGTTATCAGCAACACAGTATAGACATTAATCATGATATGACGCTGTTAGCAATTGTAAATATGCATCACTTATAATGCAACACAATTAGCAACACAGCAAACAGATATTAATCATAATGTAAAGTTTGTAGTCACACTGTGTGTCTGCATGCATGAACATGCATATGCACGTATGCATTGTGTGCTATCCCCCCCCCCCCCCCCCCCCCACATATTAGCAAAATAGTAAATAGACATTAATAATCATGTAAAACTATTTGCAACATGCCAATTATGTTGAAACAATGCTGTTGGGAATCTTGGAACGTGAATGAACAAATGAAGAAGAACTTGGAGGCCATGGTGATGTGGTTTTTTGAAACTCATAATGCAGACACCATGTACAGCCAGAGTAACTAACAAAGACTGTGAAAATGGTTAGAAAATGGTTAATGAAATTAGACAAATATATTACAATTACAGCTGAGAGGCAATTAGTATTCTTCCCTCAAGTGATGATAGGGATTGGAGAACATCGTGAAAGATCAATGACAGAAGAGGCAGTGACAAACCAACAAGAGCAGGGCAGCAGGTCTATTCTTTCCCCATCCCCTAAATGTGGCACACGAATCCACAGGGGGAAGACTTGTATTTGGTTACCTAATTTAAACATATGCCGAATTATCTCACATTCTGTATTAATAAAAACTTGAAAAGAATATATTATTATAACTCACCTAATTTTATATCACCATCATCTGTGACCAAAATGTTAGCACCCTAGAAGGAAAAAACAGAAAATAATTATGACAAAGTATATATAACACAACGTAGAACATATATTTTTATTACTGAAAATCCTGCAGTACATACTCCACAGAAAACAACATGAAATTATATATATATATATATATATATATATATATATATATATATATATATATATATATATATATATATATATATATATATATATATATATATATATATATATATATATATATATAGGGTACATGTCAAAACATCACAGCATCTCGCAGGGTGCGAGATTTCATGCTGGCTCCCATTCATACTGTGGCTGTCTTATTTATCTTCTAGGGGTGTTAGCATATGTGTCCCTTCCCCTTCGCCGTCTATACACGCTGTGCTAAAAACTAGCTCCTGTTCTTTCGAAGCCCGACATGAAAGTGCGCAGCTCTCTTTCGTGGCAAGTGACACTAAGCGACCGTTTTTGTTGTTGTTGCTGTTTGTGTGTGTCTGTGCTAGTGTTCTACTAGTTTGTGTGTTGCTGCAGAAAAGCAACACTACTCGCCAATCCTGACAGCTGAAGGCAATTCATCTCGAAGTTCAAGTCACAGAGTAAGGATAAAGTGACAGCGATGAAAAGCCAATGCACAACAATGTAACACATACACTGCTCACAACATGAAAAGTAGCACATGTTGGTCGCTCGCAATAAAGAATACAGAATGCTTACATTGATGAAAATTACATGGGAACAGCCATTTGCTTCAATCTTGTGTCCGGTGAGATGGGATGACATTTGTGATATGTACCATATATATATATATATATATATATATATATATATATATATATATATATATATAAAAAAACAGTGAAGCACAAATATTTTTAAAACTGTAAATACTGAAATATGTCTTTATATATGGACTAATAATATATAACCAGAAGCCACAGTAGTGTAGTGGCCAGATGACTGACTGCAGATCTGAGGTTCAAATTTGCACTGATACCGATAATTTTTTTAAAATTTTTTTTTTTTTAGGGGGGTTATAATATGACTTCGGCGCGAGACCTCACGGCGTAACACATAGATGATTGTCTCTGGCCTGAATATAATGGGTTCAAATGCACACCCAGTTGGATTTTTTCAAAAATTACCCCAACTCACAGGTGGATCCAGCCTAAAAATTGTAAGTAAACATAACCGGCATGATATTAACCCCATCATCCACCGAGTGCCGACTGGTCTATATAATATATGTCTAGCCATATATATCCAGTTTTATAATGCCAGCATGCTGGGTTTGATTCAGCTGCCGGCAGTGTGGAAGCAGACGGCCCCGCATTCTTCTTCTTAGCGTTCATCAGCGGTAAACTTCATGGAAAAGTTCTGGGTGTCCGCCCACTAGTCAATTTTTTGGCTTGATACAGAACCTGAGTTTTGTGTGCGCATCTTTTTACAGAACTGACTTATCTCTATGCAGACTGTTGGTTCCCTGCCTCTCAGGCAGAGACAGACTGACTTTAAAAGAAAGGCCCCTAATAAGTCACCTCCTATGACATACCTGTTAGGGAGCATTGGGTCTATTTGTTCTCCAAAGCTAGACGAGACGAGAGACTCTGGCTGATACTCAACGCTCAGAGGAGGGGCAAGATGGACACATAAGCAGACAGCTACCGGCACCACTGGTATTCGAACTCTGCTGAAGATGGAGACCGAATACTTCTGGGAAATGCCCGAGTGTTGTCATATCGGTTCTTGAATCAAATCAAATCAATTGTTCTCCAAAATGGAGTTCCAGAACCAACATGGGCCTAACGCATTGATTTCAACTACTTTAAGACCATCAGCTATTTAGAAGGGAGTGGCAAACTACTAAATGTAAAAGTACTGAGTAAATCAGCAAATAGTCAACAAATGCTGGGTTGGTTTGTGATGTCCTGGTAAAGGATACCATCATTATCATGTGCCCTGCCAACTGGCGTAGGCACTCAAGTGTCTCCACAGCTCACGATCTCTGGTTGCCTGGAACAGCTCTCTCGATGATATCCCTCCATGCCTTCGTTTCAGCCCATCCAGCATCATCTCTCTTGGTCTGCCTCTACCCCTTTTTTCTATTGATCTTTCCAGTTGTCACAATGTTCCCCAATGTCTCTCTTCTCATTATGTGGCCAAAGAACAGTGTTTGTCTCTTTCTTATTGCTGTATATAGAAATCTACTTTCATTAGCTTCTTTCAAGCAATCCTTGTTAGTTACTCTGGCCCTCGAAGGTATTCGTAACATTCGTCTCAGAATGCATGGTAAAGGATATGGACTATTTTTCTAAACCACTCCTGCCGGTAAGCGTCGTGGGGAGGAAAAATGTGCAATTCAATGCACGTTGGCTGCCACTGGCTATTGTCATGCCGTGAAGGCGCAAAGTGTCTTTAATGTTGTCGATCCATATTTTCCGCGGCCGTCATCTTGCTCTTGTAACTGATCTTCTGAGATGTAGTGCTTGTGATGGCATTTGATCTTGCTGCATTCTAACGAGATGGCTAAACCACTTGATCTGCTGTTTCTCGATGAATCTAGTACAAGGTGTCGTTCCCACAATGTGCCTGATAGTTTCATTATTCACTCGATCTTGGATGGTTAGGTTGGCTGCTTTTAATGTTTACATATGTAAAGGTAAAGACATACCTTAATATCTCTGTGCATCTTTCCTCGCCTGTGGAGGTAGCCGAGACCTTTCAGTGTTTCCCGGCAAATAAATGCTATTGTTGGTTCCGGTAATGGTCCAGTAACTAACACGGGAAAGAAAACCAGTGTTTGGATTAATGTTAAGTGTTAATCACTTGAAATAATCATCACATGAAATCAGTAACTGACAGGAGAAAGAAAATCTGTGTTTTCATTAATGTTAGTGTTAACCACTCTTAATAATCATTACACCAAATCAGTAATTGACATTTTTTAAAAATAATTTTTTGAGATTAATGCTAGCATGAACCATTTCATTTAGAAATTAAACCAAATAGGGTTGTTGACAGTATGTGTTGTCATTTACAGCTAGGCAGCAATATATACACCTTTTCAGCACAAAACGTCTGATTGCAAACAAAAATGACTCAAACAATAGATTGCACATTTATTGCCTGGCACATTTCGCTGTATACTGTCAGGTGCATACTACAGTTACAACTGATTAACTCTTTCAGGATAACATTTTTTTCTGGGGGTTTGGACAGCATTTATTTTGAGCTGAATTTTTTTAACTGCAACATGACAAAGCTATAACCTTCCTGAAGAAAAAGTATTGGCTGTATGGAGACACATAATTTATCAAATTTAAGAGAAATGAGTGCAGAATAAATCTAAACAATTTAAGTGTCAGTATTACAACAAAATATTTTATAACACAACATTCAAAGATGTTAGACACATATAAAGATTTTATACACAAACAATTGTGTGCTTACCTTACTGTTTACTTGTTCAACAACACTGCTATCTATTTCTAAGAATTCACATGTCATCTCTGTTCAATTATATATCAGCTAGTTTTTATTTCAAACAATTATTTTAAATACTTTGGATGTTATGATCATTTTTGTATGACATGTCAGATTTTACAACAACCAAAATCAGGAAAACAGTTGATCAAAACAGATGATCCGATAGAAATATTCTGTTCAGTCTTTATCCTAACCTAAATTATCCGCAATAGGTTTAGCAAAGGTCACAATATTAGGACTACTGTCACTATCTGGCTGAGATTAATCAATGATAGAGCAAACTATACAGTTCTAGACCTTTTGCCATATTATTTGCTATAGAAAAATCACATAAAATCGTATCACATCTAAAAACATTTTTAAAATTCAGAAAGTGAGGTAAAAGCCATGCCGAACTTAAAAAATGAAAGAACTTTGTTTCGCTAATTCTAGTTT